AGTCGGCGTCCCTCTCTGGGCCCTATTTTTTCCTCCCCTGTGGAACGAGAAGCCTGCAGCGGGCTAAGCTCCCAGTTTCTTTTCCTTTCTCGGTGAGTAAATCGCTTCTGCCCAGATACATATAAAGGGCCGCAGGCGGTGGGTGTGCCCGTGGGCGAGGGGCTGGTGAAGCCAGAGGACTGGGTCAAGGCAGCGCCAAGCTGGGCGCAAAGGCAGGTGGCTTGTGGGTGACTCATTTCCCAAGGTCGCTGGGGCTGATCCTGTGTGGGGAGCTGGGCAGCGATGTGGGAGCGGTTAGGGGAGCCCCCTCCCGCCCCCCAGGACAGATGGGACCTGGCCTGTATGGCTTCTCCGGGGCATGGAGCCCGGGGCCACCTCTGAGAAGAGAGATGGACAAAGAGCCCCCGAGAGCAGGAGGGATGAAGGGAGCCCCGGAGACTTCCCTGCAAGACCAGTTGGATGGCTCCTCCCACGAGGAGGGGGGCTGAGCAGGTTCTGGGAGAAGGTCTGCTGCCGCAGGAGCTGAAGCACCTGGCCATGGTGTCTCCCCACCCACCTCCGCCCCAGGAAGACACCGTGATCGGCCGAGCAGGGCGCTGGCCTAGGACGGGAACGCACAGCCGTCACCCTCCACCTGCTCCTGGGGGTCCCCACGGGGAAGCGGACCACCGATCAGTCTGGGCTGCATGGAATTCCTTTCCTCGTTAAGATGGAAGCTTTGCTCCTCTTAGGCCGAGCTGCTGCCCGGTGTGCAGCGGGCCAGGCCGGATGTGTCTGGGCAGGAGCGAGGGCCAGAGGCTGTCTTTCCAGCAAGCCTCGGGGCTTGTGAGACCCTGGTCCGAAGGCCCCCCTGCCCCAGCGGTGATGTTGGGCTCGCACAGTGCAGCGGTGGGAGCAGGTTGCCCGCGTCTCTCGGTCCAGGGTCCCCGCCTGGAAAGTGCAGATGGTCATCGGCCCCGAGGCGGTGGCGGGGTGAGCGGAGCAGACACTGAGAACAGTGCCTCGTCCACAGGGAGCGCTCGGTAACGACAGGCTGCTTCAGTGGTACTGTCATCACCACTCACCTGGGCGCTTATTTTCCCTTGTTTGCAAAGGACAGAAACGGGCCATGTGCTCGGGTTGTACTGCTGGTCCTCTTGGGGCTGGGTGAAGTCATGTGACTGGTGTTGGCCAATTACATGGGAGCAGGAGCCACGTATGTCCTTCCAGGCACTGAATTGTCTGTGCCACCCACACTTTCCATGGTGCTCTCTCTCTCTCTCTCTTTTCTCTTTGGGCCTGGTGACTGCTCTGTCACCTGGGTCCCCGGGACTGACAGTGATGAGACAGGTGCCCCCCACACACACACACACACCCCACTGGAACTACGATGCATGTAGTATGAGCAAGGAATCAATCTCTGTCCTCTAAAGCCACCGAGATTTGGGGGTGTTTGTTGCTGCATCAGAACCTAACCCACCCTGATTAAAGCGGTCAGAACCCCCTCAGGCTCGGTTGGGAGGATTGAAGGATTGAATCTTCCACGTGAGAAGCCCTGCGCACTGTAGGTCCACGCTGGTCACGTTCTGATGTGGCTCCCTTCCCGACCGCAATTCCTTACCGATTCTTTGCAACAAGTGTTGCTACATCCTTCACTGGGCGTTCACAGACGTTGGCCCCTTACCTCCTGCCCGCGCCTTCTCTGGGGGAGCCCAGCCCTGGGCGACCTTCCTCCGGGAGCGGTGCGTCCGCAGCATCTATCCACTTGCAGCGCCAGCTCCGGCTCCCCAGCCCCCGGAGGCTGCCGCCAGCCCGGGACTGGCGATCAATCATGGAAGCTGAAGTGGCTGCCCTTGGTCAAGTGTGCTTAATGTGGAGGTGCATTAAGTGAAAAGGCTGGAGCACGAGGACGGGGCAGGGAAGCATCCGCCCGCCCCTCTGGGTCTGCTGGGACCTCCCGTCCCCTCCCAGGCAGATGGGCGGGCTGCGTGTAGGGCAGTGATGGCGAACCTATGACACGCGTGTCAGAGGCGACACGCAAACTCATTTTTTTGGTTGATTTTTCTTTGTTCAATGGCATTTAAATATATAAAATAAATATCAAAAATATGTCTTTGTTTTACTATGGTTGCAAAGATAAAAAAATTTCTATATGTGACACGGCACCAGAGCTAAGTTAGGGTTTTTCAAAATGCCGACACGCCGAGCTCAAAAGGTTCGCCATCACTGGTGTAGGGTAAGGTCAGGACTCCCTGCCCGCCGGGGACTCGGGGTGTGTGGCACATTTGAGAGGGCAGCTGGGAACCAGGTTGTCTCGCTGTGTGCTCAGGGTGTGGAGGTGGGGATTCTGCCCTGGGGGTGAGCTCAGGGGCAGGCTGGCCGCCCACCCCATCTCCCCTTCCTGGGGAGCTGATACGGGGACATCCTGGAACCCCCTGAAGAGGAAGGGCAGTGATTGCCAAGCGGCATATGAAGCAACATCCTCACCCTGCCTGAGCCTGGCTGTGCTCTGGGCCGGCCGCCACAGCCAGCCCATCCCCTGCTGGAGAGATGGGGCTGAGGTGAGGCAAGGATGCAAGGGAGGGGTGAGGCCCAGGGCTGGGGCGGGGCCGGGTGGCAACCAGCAGACTAACCCCATGAAAGCAGAGGCGTGCGTTATCTAATTCTCAGGACAGTCCTGCAGCCTTGAAACCTTTCACACACAAAGAAAAGCTGGAAAACAAAATCAAAATAAGTCCATGACAAACGTACGAACAGTTCTAATCCATTGCGTTTTAAATGCAAACCAGGGCACGTACATTTTTTACTATATATACTTTTTTTTTTTTTTCGTAAAGAGGGGGGCTGGTGGAAGGCAGGAACAGCTAGAGAAAGGGCCCATTGTCTGGTAGCTGCCTCGTATCTGGAATGATCTGTGGCCCTGATTCAGTTACAGTGGTCATACCAATTTTCCTTTCAATTAACGATTAGATTGGTGTGCTTAATAGGCTGCTTCATTTGTTTTCCACTTGAAAATGGGATGGATGGCTACGCCTGCACCCCGAGGGCTCCCTGAGGTCCGCGCAGCCACGGGGGCGGCGCGGGCATCTGAGGGGCGCTTGTGGTGTGTCTGCCCACAGTCCCAGCCTGGGGTGGCTGTTGCCCCGGGCAGCCTTGCATGTGAGTCCTTGTCATTACAGTGCCAGGAGTGACCCAGATCCAGCCGGCTGGCCAAAAAAAACCCCCAAAAAACCTCTAGCGCAGCGGTTCTCAACCTGTGGGTTGCGACCCCTTTGGGGGTCGAATGACCCTTTCACAGGGGTCGCCTAAGACCATCGGAAAACACATATATAATTACATATTGTTTTTGTGATGAATCACTATGCTTTAATTATGTTCAATTTGTAACAATGAAAATACATCCTGCATATCAGATATTTACATGACGATTCATAACAGTAGCAACATGACAGTTATGAAGTAGCAACGAAAATAATTTTATGGTTGGGGGTCACCACAACATGAGGAGCTGTATTAAAGGGTCGCGGCATTAGGAAGGTTGAGAACCACTGCTCTAGTGTTTTTTTTCCTGATTATTAAAATACTATCCAGTCATGAACAGATCAAACCGCTTAAAAATGGCCAGACAGTGAAAATCCGCCTTATTCCAGGTGGAGTTTAGGGCTGGAGCAGGGGTCAGGAATGTCTGCTGGGCTCCTCAGCGACATTGGTAATGACAGCAACACGACTAAAGCAGCTGGTGGGGTAGGCATGCTAGGCCCCGGCCGCTCTGAATGCTCATCGCTTCCTGTCTCGTTTAGTTCTCGCAACAACCCTGTCTTTATAGGATTGTCGTCATCATCCCTTTATGGTTGGAAAAGATAAAGAACAGACCAGGGAGGCACGTTAACTTTCCCCAGGTCTCACAGTAATGGCTGAGCTGTCCTCAGGGGCCCTGAGCCTAACCACTGGCTTTGACGAACTTCGACCTTTCCTCCTGGCGGCTTTGGCGCAGTCCTGCCAGTGCAGGCGACCCCGGAAGCTGCCGTGCCCGCCCCGCGTGCACTTTTCTCTCAGAATCCGGGCCTTCGCTTTTGGGGAGTTTTTCCTGCAGGTCTTGCCCCTCAGCTACTGTGTTTCCTTGTGCGCTCAGTTAACCTCAAGGATGGTGAGCAGTGAGCTGGAGACATTGTTACTTGGTGGCCCAGCGCCTCCCTGCAGGGGAGGGTGGCGGGGGGAGGGAGGTACTGCCTGAGGTCCTGCATTCAGGGCCTCTAAACAGGCTGACAGTTGCCATCTGGGGCCCGGCAGCGTCGTGCAGTTACAGGCTGTGCCTTAAACCCATGGAAGCCAGGACGACACCAACGCTCATGTCCACTGGGAGTCCCCCAACTGCCCCCAGCGTGACGCACGGGCCAGAGGCCCCTCGTGACGGGGTGGATGGAGTCACCGGGGGAAAGGCCACATTTTGCAAAGTGTGTGACGACTGAGTGACAGAAGCCAGAGGATTTAGCAATCACAGCACGGTTGGGGAAAGGTGTTGCAGGGTCCGGAATTCAGATTGGGCAATGCAGCCCGGGGGGTGGGGAGCATCCTGCGGGCCAGGCCGGGCCAGGGCAGCCTCTGGGTTCCAGGACACCGGTCCCGGGGCCAGGCTCGGAGGTCGCGCCCTGTAAGTAATTGCCAGTGAGTCCCAGCCGGTGTGGTTCAGTGGTTGAGCGTCAACCTATGAACCAAGGAGGTCACAGTTCACTTCCGGGTCAGGGCACATGCCCAGGTTGCAGGCTCAGTCCCCATTGTGGGGCGTGCAGGAGGCAGCCAGTCCATGATTCTCATCATTGATGTTTCTCTCTCCCACTCCCGTCCTCTCTCTGAAATCAGTAAAAATGTATATTTTTTTTTAAAAAAAAATCTTGTTCTCAGCCACTCGCCCTGGGCTGCGCCTGTGAGGAGAGTTTGGGGTTTGTGGCTCTGGGAGGGAGCTGAAGGGGCAGCCACTGGGGCCCCGGAGCTGAGTCCCTTTCCCGCACGGGCCTGGGGGGAGCAAGAGCCCCACCTCTGGACTCCCTCTTGCGCCACCGGAGTTGCTTGCGCCCTGCCGACGAGTCAGCGATCTGGGCCAGGGTGTAGAGGTCTGAGTGGTGTGGTTTTGGGGTGGGGGCCATTCCCCTCACTTTCCTGTGAACCTGACTGGCACGCTCCCCGTCATGGGAGATCTGCTAGCCCCGCCTTCTGGGCTCCCAGCGCCCCGCCCGCCCCACTCCTGGCGACTCCGCCCTGCTGAGGTCTGGGCAGAATCCAGGGCAGACTGGGTTGTGTGGCTCTGGGCGGTGGCCGCTCGTCCCGCCTTCCCCAAGCCTGGCTGGCACCTCGCCTTCTCGGGATCCACGAGCCCCGTCCTCCCGGCTCCCGCAGCCCCACCCGGCTGAGCTCGGGCTCCTTGGGCAGAGCTGGGACACCGCGTTGCCGTTGCGTGGCTCTAGGACGGGGCACACAGCCAAATTGTGGTCTGTCGGTCTGTCTGGGGCTGATAAACTCCGCTGACCTCACCCTGACAGCCCCACCCCACCACAGAGTTGTTTGGGCACCCAGAGGGTGGCAGCTGGACTTGGTTTACCAGGGACGTTTGCCGAGTGGCCTCAGACCCAGCGCCGGCGCCGAGTTTGAACCTGGATCCGTCAGGTGAACGCCTACTTGCTCCTACCTGGTGACTGAGAGCCGGTCTCATGTGACCTGAGCAGTGCCAGAGAGTGACTGAGCCTCACAGTGGAGGCAGGCAGAGGCGGATCTCGAGGGGCCTTGGGACTCTTGTTGGCCTGCCCCTGGCCCCCGGGGCCGGGCTTCCAGCCTGCAGCCAAGGTAGGTGCCCTTGACGGGGAATTGAATCCAGGACCCTTCAGTCCTCGCGCTGACGCTCTATCCACTGCGCTAAACCGGCCAGGGCTATTTGCTTGTTTTTTGTAGCCACGGGAGGCCCAGCTTGGACCCGCCCGGGGGTGGCTCGTAATCAGGGCAAAGACCTTTGGCTCCAGAGTGGATCCAAACTCAGGGGAGCGAAACCAGTTTTCTAAGGGTGGGTGAAGCCAGCTGTGCCGCCACGTGGCCCTCGAGATGTAGTCAGTTGACATGAGGGACAGAGCTGAGCAGAGAGGAGAGGTGGGGGCGGGCCAAGCCACAAGGGGAGTCAGGGTCTGTGCTTTCACCCCCAAGTCACTGCATCAAGAATGGCCCCTCTTGCCCTAGCTGGTGTGGCTCAGTGGATAGAGCGGCGGCCTGCGGCCTGAAGGGTCCCGGGTTTGATTCCGGTCAAGGGCACATGCCCGAGTTGTGGGCTCGATCCCCAGTAGGGGGCGTGCAGGAGGCAGCCAATCAGTGATTCTCTTTCATCACTGATGCTTCTATCTCTCACTCCCTCTCCCTTCCTCTCTGAAATCAATAAAAGAAAAGAACGGCCGCTCTCACCTGTGTCCCTGTCCCCGCAGGTTGGCTCAGCATGTCGGTCAGCGTCCACGAGACCCGCAAGTCGCGGAGCAGCACGGGCTCCATGAACATCACGCTCTTCCACAAGGCGTCGCACCCCGACTGCGTGCTGGCCCACCTCAACACGCTGCGCAAGCACTGCATGTTCACCGACGTCACGCTCTGGGCCGGCGACCGCGCCTTCCCCTGCCACCGCGCCGTGCTGGCCGCCTCCAGCCGCTACTTCGAGGCCATGTTCAGCCACGGGCTGCGGGAGAGCCGGGACGACACGGTCAACTTCCAGGACAACCTGCACCCCGAGGTGCTGGAGCTGCTGCTGGACTTCGCCTACTCGTCGCGCATCGTCCTCAACGAGGAGAACGCCGAGTCGCTGCTGGAGGCGGGCGACATGCTGCAGTTCCACGACGTGCGCGACGCGGCCGCCGAGTTCCTGGAGAAGAACCTGTTCCCCTCCAACTGCCTGGGCATGATGCTGCTGTCGGACGCCCACCAGTGCCGCCGGCTGCACGAGCTGGCCTGGCGCATGTGCCTGGCGCACTTCGAGACGGTGCGGCAGAGCGAGGACTTCAACAGCCTCTCCAAGGACAAGCTGCTGGAACTCATCTCCAGCGACGAGCTGGAGGCGGAGGACGAGCGGGCGGTGCTCGAGGCCGTCCTGCAGTGGGTGCGGCACGACCTCGAGGGGCGCAGCGCCCACCTGCCCGAGCTGCTCCGGGGCGTGCGGCTGGCCCTGCTGCCCTCCGACTGCCTGAAGGAGGCCGTGGCCCGCGAGGCCCCGCTCCTGGCGGGCGAGCCCACGCAGGGCATGTTCGACGAGGCGCTGCGCTGCAAGGCCCGGATCCTGCAGAACGACGGGGTGGTGACCAGCCCCTGCGCCCGGCCGCGCAAGGCGGGCCACACGCTGCTCATCCTGGGCGGCCAGACCTTCATGTGCGACAAGGTCTACCAGGTGGACCACAAGGCCAAGGAGATCATCCCCAAGGCCGACCTGCCCAGCCCCCGGAAGGAGTTCAGCGCCTCGGCCATCGGCTGCAAGGTCTACGTGACGGGGGGCAGGGGCTCGGAGAACGGGGTGTCCAAGGACGTGTGGGTGTACGACACGGTCCACGAAGAGTGGTCCAAGGCGGCCCCCATGCTGATCGCCCGCTTCGGCCACGGCTCGGCCGAGCTGGAGAACTGCCTGTACGTGGTGGGCGGACACACGTCCCTGGCGGGCGTCTTCCCCGCCTCCCCGTCCGTGTCCCTGAAGCAGGTGGAGAAGTACGACCCCGGGGCTAACAAGTGGAGCATGGTGTCCCCGCTGCGGGACGGCGTGAGCAACGCGGCGGTGGTGAGCGCCAAGCTGAAGCTCTTCGTGTTCGGGGGGACCAGCATCCACCGGGACATGGTGTCCAAAGTGCAGTGCTACGACCCCGCGGAGAACCGGTGGACCATCAAGGCGGAGTGCCCCCAGCCCTGGCGGTACACGGCCGCGGCCGTGCTGGGCAGCCAGATCTTCATCATGGGCGGCGACACGGAGTTCACGGCCGCCTCCGCCTACCGCTTCGACTGCGAGACCAACCAGTGGACGCGGATCGGGGACATGACGGCCAAGCGCATGTCCTGCCACGCCCTGGCCTCGGGCAACAAGCTCTACGTGGTGGGCGGCTACTTCGGGACGCAGCGGTGTAAGACCCTGGACTGCTACGACCCCACGGCGGACACGTGGAGCTGCATCACCACCGTGCCCTACTCGCTCATCCCCACGGCCTTCGTCAGCACCTGGAAGCACCTGCCTGCCTGAGGGGCCCCTGCGAGCCAGGTGAGCCCCGGCTCGGGCCTGTCCCGCTCTGGGAGGGGCAGCAGGTGACGGGGGTGGAGAAGGGGTTCTGGGACCCTTTTTCAGAGCCAACGCCTTCCTTGCAGCTGACCTCGAGCAAAGCAGGTGACCCCTCTGCCGGATGGGGTACAGCCTTAGGTTGGGGGGGTTCCCAGACACGGCTGCCTATCAGAACCGCCAGGCTCTGCTGACAATTCTGCACGGAGTCTAGGCCACTCTGCCAGGTCCGAGGGCACACTCTCCGAGCGACAGTGTCCTCGCTTCTGACTCCAGCTGCGGGCTAGGGGCTTCCCAGGATGCACTGAGGCTGTCCACGGTTATGTCTTATTACAGGGAAAGGGTATAGATTAAGATCAGCCACGGCCAGAGGTGCACAGGGGCGGGGTGGTCAGAGCGCACAGCATCCACGAAGCATCGCGTCCTCTCCCTGTGGAGTCAGGACTGTGCCTGTCCTGGCCTCAGAGAGACGATGCGCAGAGCACGCCGCCAGCCGGGACCTCCCTCACGCCCAGCCCTTAGGCAGGATCACTGGATCGCCGTGTGGTTCCGAGGTCCCAGGTCAGCTGGTGCAGCAGGACCAGAGCCCCAGCCTAAGTCACATGATGGCCCCACTCCCGCCCTCGGCCAACACATGCTCTCAGGGCTGACATAGGTCACCTCCCAGACCCAGGGGCAAAGGCCAGGCCTCTGTTTGGACAAGGCCACGTCTGGGCCGCACAGAAGGCCACACCCCAGGGCCTCTCGTGTGCAGCCGAGGGGAGACCCACCCGGGTCCCGTGAGAAAGAGCGGGGAGATGCTGGGGTTGGAGCGGGCACCCCAGGAAGCACTGGGGGTGCCGGGCTTTGGGGGCAGGTGCCTGGGACTGCCCGCCTCTCACCTGCCCGATGGGGGAGACGCGGGTTTGCCGGGAACCAGCCTGCCGTGCGCAAGGCTCGCTCCCCTCTTCCCTGTCGGAGTTGGTGTGAGGCTTCCTCGGGCGTGTGTCCACGTGGGCGCCATTCCCACGCCTCGTCTCTGTTGCTCCGCAGGCTCTGCGTGTCTCCCCACCTCACGGCTGCAGCCCTGTCGCAGGGGCCCGTCTGCCTGCCACAGGGGAAGCTCAGCCGCCCCGGCCAGCGCTCCGAGCGGCCGCCCACCGGCTCTGGGAGCTGCTCTGAGTTTTAAGACGAGAGAAGACGCCGTCTCCAGTCCCGGGGTGTCTGCCTGAGGCTTTTCCCGCTTTGCAGGGGTTTTGGGGGAGAGGGACTCCCAGAGGGGCGTGCACACACCAGGGCTCCCTCCGCCTCCGGGGGGAGGACGCGTTTGCAGGACTTGGAGGTCACCTGTTTCCGCAAGTCCTGGACAGGCCCAGGGGCCAGGCATGAAGAGCCCTGGATGGGGGCAGCACCGCCTGCAGCCTGTGACTCACGTCCCTGTCCCTGCTGTGATGTCGCCCACAGGGGATGTCCCAGGTCTCAGGGGACGGCCAGCAGGACCGGGAGCAGAAGCTACTGAGGAGAGAACGGAGGACACGTTGTCTAAGGGGCAGAAGCCTGTGGGGTGACCTCAGTGGCATCCAGGAGGCTTCATTGGCGGATGACCCCAGGCAGCTGGGTTAAAGACGAAATCTCATGGCCCCTCCCCAGAGCGGGGCTTGCCCTCGTGACCTTGCCACCTCCCGGTCAGGCTGGCCATGGCCCATCACACGGCAGCACCCAGGACCTTGGGTACCACATGCCGCTGGACAGGGGGTGCCGCCCCTCCTCAGAGCACATCACAAGCACCAGCAATGCCCCCGGCTCCTGATGGGGACCCCGGGGGACTCCAGACCCCCCCGCCCGGACATCCCCCGGCGCTGGACGCATCTCAGTGTGGAGGTCAGCCATGAGGTCACCGCTCCCGACCCCGCTGGCCCCTGGCATCCTGGCCTTCCAGCCGGTAACTGGATCTGACCCCTCTGTCCCCGGGCTCACAAAGCAAGCTCCGTCCCGAGAGAACTGCCAGACATCTGTTGGTTGTTTTTCACCTTCCAAGTGGCTGGTCCCTCCTCAGTGTATCCCAGCCCAGCCCGCCCTTCCCATCCCTCCACGCAGGCACTAGCGTTTGGACCTTGAAGTGGGGTTCACTCACTGATGCGCCCCAGCTGCCACTCGGAACGTCTGAGAGCAGAAGGTGCACCTCCAGTTCAGACGCTACTGCTCCCTCTCGGCCCCCTGCAGCCACGGGGCCCCACCCCAGGAGATGGGTCTGCTGGGAAACTGGGGAGCCCTGGCTGGGGGGGGTGGTCCCTGGGAGGGAAGCAGCCGGGTCTGCAGGCCCTGCCCTGTCGGCTGCTGGGCTGAGCTAAGCACACGTCTCACAGCACAAAGTACCTCCGGTGCCCTCCCTGGCAGGACCCTCTCCGTTTCTAAGTTAATAAATGAATTGAGAACGTTCTTGTTTGTTTGGGCTCTGGGGCCCGTCTTGGGGGACACAGTCATGGGCTGACGTCGATGGTCACCCCACCAGGCAGGGCTCGGGGGCTGCCCCTCCTGAGAATGGGGAGGCTCAGTCCAGGTCCCACAGGCACCCAGATATCAGGGCTCCCCTTGATGGAGGTTGTTGGGCAGTTGTTTCCATTGGTTCCGACACTGTTCCCCGTTCTCCTGAGAGTCACCGTCTCCTGGAAAAGCCGTTGCGAGCGCTCACTTGAGAAATTCCATTCGTCTCCACGCTCCTGTGTATGCGCTCGGGGCTCCCAGTGGACACTCATTTGTGTGAAAATAACAAGCGCATGAAGGCGGGCGCGTCACTCCCAGTCCTTACCGCGCAGGCCCGCGCCCGGTCTGTGCCCTCCCAGGAGTCTGAGCTGTGCCCTGGGGTCCAGTGGCGGCCTCTGCAGCCGTGTGTGGTCCTGCCAGCTGAGCTCCAGGGGCGCAGTGCAGGGTGGGGACCCATGGGCGACAGGCCGGCTGGGCTCCGGCCCCAGCTCTCCTTGGACAGGGCTGGCTTCCCTTTGCAAGGTCCCTGTTCTCAGGTACTTAGAGGTTCCCAAACTCCCTTCAACAATGTCCATTTCCTTTGCCCTTTCATATTGCAAGCTTCCAAGTAATTTGTGTGTTAGGTTCTAGCCCGGCTGGTGTGGCTCGGTGGTTGAGTGTCGACCTATGAACCAGGAGGTCAGGGTTCAATTCCCATTCAGGGCACATGCCAGGCTTGTGGACTCGATCCCCATTGGGGGGCGTGCAGGAGGCAGCCGATAGATGTCTCTCATCACTGATGTTTCCTATCTCTCCCTCTCCCTTTTTCTGAAGTCAATAAAAAAAATACTTAAAATTTTTTTTACAAAAAGGGAAAATTCTAGAAAGAAAAGGCCTTCCAAATTTTTGTGGGGAGTCGAAGGAAACCCCGTTAGAATGTTTCCCTTTTAGCCCTGGCCGCCGGGAGACTGAGCGGCCGAGTTTCAGCGCAGAAGCTGTGCTTTCCCTCTTGGCACCGTGCCTCCTCCTCCCATGCCTGGGCTGTCACGCCCCGAGCCACCTGGGGGCCTGGTTGACTGCCATCAGAGGACCCAGCCTCTGTCCACAGTCTGAGCAGCGCCCCCTGGGCCCACCCCCAAGCTTCTCGCCGCAGCCGGGCCCCTGTGGGTGCCGGGAGTGTGTCAGGTGGCTGGCCCTGGGCCCCTCCTGTGGACACACACGAGGCCAGGCTGGAGAGAACGAGGCCAGGCTGGAGAGAACGACTTTGTCCAGGCAACTGCCCGGCTCCAACTCTGAAGCTGGGGGTGGGGTGGGAAGCTCGGGGACCCTCAAAGGGAAGGGGCAGCTAGGGAGGTCTCAGCTGGTCTGTTCCCAGGAGCCAGTTCCAGTCACTCCCCTCCCCCCAGTCAGCGCTCCCCTCCTGGGACCCTCTCCCCAGACCCCTCCAGATACGGTTTCCCAGGGAGAAGGCAAGGTCCACAAAGGCGCCAGGAGGGAGGCACAGCCCTCAATTCTGTGGGGACTGTTTCCAGCAGAGCAGAGCATCCATTAGCATATGAAAGGAGGCTTGGGGACTGGCCAGGCTGTGACTAGGATACCAGACGGGGCTGAAGACTTGTAGGGGTGGGGGTGGGGGTGGGAAAGGCCCAGCCCACATTTCCTGAACTGGGTGCAGAGCAGCTCCTGCCCAGCCCGGCCCCCTCTCCCACTGCACCTCCTCACAGGACACCCCCGGGGTGGCGGGGCAATGCCCACGGGGCTGGCCTCACCATCCTTAAGTGACCCGAAAGCTTCCAAGAACAGGAACTGGGGAGGGAGGCCTCTGGGAGGGACTTCTCCCTGACCAGGCGACATCCAGGCTACTAAGGGGGTGAGGGGCCAGGTCCCCCTGACATGTTCTCCGTCTTATTTCTGAGGCCCTGCAGCTCAGCTGACCTCGATTCTGCTTCCGAGGAAAAGCCAAGACCTGCGCACTGCGTTTCCCCGTCCCCTGCAAGCTCTTTTCTGGCTTCTTGGCTCCCTTTCATTTCTGACTCAGATTCCCATCCTGGGCATTCGTTACCAACTTCCTGTCCGGGCAGAGCCGTTGCTGCAACCCAATCTGAGGCGGTTTGTACACCTCGGACGCTCCCCGGGGCACGGGACCCGCGGACAGAAAAACGCCACGTCTGTCAGCAGCTCGGCAGCCAGCTCTGCGCTGTGGCCCAGGCTCCGGGCCCAGCAGGGTCCCTGGCGAATGGCGGTCAGGATTCTTGCAGCCCTGAGCGCGCTGTGCGTCTGTTCGGGAAGGAAGGATGGGACCTCCGTGCGCTTCTTGCCTCCCAGACAGAGCCCGTCCCTGGCTCAAACCCAAGGACCATGGGAGGCCTGTCCCCCTCAGGAGGGTAGGGGGAGAGGGAAAGAGAAACATCAGTGATGAGAGAGAATCATTGATCAGCTGCCTCCTGCACGCCCCCTACTGGGGATGGAGCCTGCAACCCAGGCTCGTGGGAATTGAACTGTGACCTCCTGGTCATAGGTCGACGCTCAAGCACTGAGCCACGCGGGCCGGGCATAGAGGAGACGCTTAAGACATTGGTGCCCTTGCAAGTTCACTGGGAAAAGGAAGGTGCTTCGCACTCTGGCGGGAGTGGCTTCTTCCCATTGTTGCGAGAGGAGCTTGTAAGTGGCAAAGCCGAGATCCCAGGCGGCTTTGCACGGCACCATAGGGCACAGTGCCCAGGGGCCAGGGGGCTTGGGGGCCTTTTGCAGGAGCAGCAGCCGGGCTCCCACAGGTGGCTCAGCACAGCCCCTCCGCTGTAGTGGGTGGCAGTGGCTTCTCCGTGGAGCCCGCCTTCTGTGATCAAATCCAGCCAATCCCTGTGGGGCTCGAAGCAAATTACATTTTTCTTCCTGAATCATGTTTAGACAGTTGCCCTGTTTGGAGAGCGGGATGGGGTACAGAAAACTTGCAAAGAAAGGCAAATTAACCATATTTTTACATGAGTCTGTGGCAAAGGGCATTTTCCACTGCACTGATTTAACTGGACAGAGTTCTGGCACTTGGCACCCCGGGGTTCGGGGTCCCGGCTATAGCTAGAGTGGGAGTCCCCAAGAAGCCACCAGTGCTCCAGGCTCTCCTGGTTCCTGTCCCCAAATGCGGAAATAGGTTCCGCTGGGAGGAAGGCTCTCCTTGGAGTTGGGGAGGGGGTCCCCCTTTACCAGGAACCCAGAGTTATCTCCAGCAAGCCCAGACCCGGACGGACAGCCACACACCAGCCGCAGTCGAGACGTAAAGAACATTTATTTTTTTGGAAGGGTTGAGGGGGACTTTACAGAAATCTGAAGCCAATAACTAGACAGGAAGATAAATAAAATACAAAGCCAGTATGTTGTGGCAAAATTCCAAAAAACACACTGAAAAAAAATCTTTACAGTTTAAAACTGTTTACTTTGTACATAATTACAAATGCATATACAGCACGTGGGTTTCACCCCTTACTTAGTGGGATTCAGCACAGAAAAGTTCACACAGGGGAAACACGATGAGCAGACGCAGGTGTGCGCGGTCACCTCCTGCCTGTCCCGGCGGCCCCCCGCGCCCCCACGGGGTGCGTGACACACAGGAAGCCACAGGCTGAGCCGTGACCACAGGGCGGGGCCCTGTCGGTGCTCTCACTGCCCTTCCTGTTGGGCGGCTGCAAAAGGCAGAGGTGACAAGCGGGGTGCACGGGGGTCGGGGGCCGATCCTCCGTTGGCCGCAGGAGGCCGGGCACAGGCCGGCTCCGGCTGGGTGTCGGCAGCGGCTCAGCAGGGTCTGCGGCAGGAGAGCCTGGCCCACTTGTGTTTGCCCATCTTTGAACCTCACGAGATGGAGAAGTCATTCGAGGCCTGTCGTCTTTGCATAAATTCAGTTAGAGGAGGACATGGGAGAAGCAGCCTGTGTGTGTTTTTCCTATTATGGCCGCATTACAATACTTGTCATCCTAACACCTGGCCAGCAGGCGGTCCGTCCCAAGGCTCTGGTTAAGGAGGAATGTCACGATGCGTTGGAAGAAAGAGGAAGCAGCAAGGCCAAGCACGCTGTGCCCCTCCCCCGTCTCTTCAGGCCAAGAGCGCCAGGGCCCGGCTGGGACCCGGCCAGTCAGGACCACAGCCGTGTTGTCCAACTGTCCTGCTGCAGGGGCAAGGCACACCCACCCTGCCAGCCACCGTCCCTGCAGGCTCCCCATTCCAAGCGCACCCCAGCGTGTGGAGGGGGTCGATGCCCTGCGGCAGTGTCCCCTCCAAACCACCCTCTTTGTGGCCCTGGAGCCCCCTCACCAGGCCCCTCGCTCTACACCCCTCCCAGGACTCGGCTGTCCTCTGGCACAACTGCCACCATCGACACGGGAGTAAATGCGGCTCCAAGGTCCACACTCAAACCCTCGGGAGAAAGACCCGCTGGAGAGAAAGAACTCAGAGACGGAGGATGAAGGAGGAGCAACTTCTGTGAGGAGCAACTTCTGGACCACGGTCTGGCCTCTAAGGTTATGTACGGTCCCAGCTTTTCTTAAGGCAGAGCCCATTCTGTTGAACCCTATGCGCTCTATTCCTGCCCCAAAAAGGCCCCACAAAGCCCCAGGGCCTCACACTATGCTCACTGCTGCTAATGCCGGGCTTGGGAAGGTAACAGATAAGGGAGCAAATGAGCAAAGGGACAGGTTCCAGTGGTATTGCCCTGAGACTTAAGAGGAAAAAAGGTAAGATTCGTACCCTTTCCAAAAAAATCTTGACACAGATTTCTTGCCCACATACAGCTTAGGGGGTAGGATGGAACGTTGGCAAAGGTTGAACTGTGGCCATTTGCGTGTTTTTAACCTTTTGCGTTTTCCAAGAAGGAAACAGTTGACATAGTTGTCACAAAAGCGAAGCCAGCTGGCGACAGCATGAAAAGTGCACAGGTCACCCAGGCAGGATGACAATTACCGAGATGATATCATGGAGAGAAGGTACCTCCTTCCAGGAAACTCATTAGATTCTGGAGACCTGGGGAATCTGGAAGGCCTCGTCCCCCCAAAACTTAAACACAATGCTGGGCACCTGATCTCTGGAGGCTGATAGAGAAGCTGGGGGCCCCGAGGACTTGAACCTGAGTCACCCGAGAAGTCAACCCCTTCTCCCAGGAAAGAAACCCAGGCGGGGCTTAGACTCAGCGACTGAGCCGTCCTCAAGGTCATAGCACAAGCACAGCAGCAAAAATCCCCAAGTTCAACCTCGGAGGGGGCGGGGCGGGGAGTCTCAAACCGAAGCCAAGCTGTGCAGCCACACACACTCCCTGTCCACCGGCCTCTGAGCAGCAGCCTGACAGCCCATCGCATCATCCCGGGCACAAGCGGCCGGGCGCACGTGGACCCAGTGCTTCCTTCCAGCAGAGCGACACGAAGCCCCGGGGGGAACCCCAGCAGGCGACAAGGACAGACAGCTGAGCTCCGGGAGGGCCAGGCGGGCACGGCTGTGACACGAAGCTGGGGGGACGGGCTGCTTGCTGTTTAGGGTCTTTGGTGGTGGGCGGAGGGGTGGGTGGATACATGGTTACGAGAGAAAAGGAGAAATCAGTTGGTTTTATTCCTCAAGTCTATTGCTGGAGGTAAGAAATCTCAATGACAGAACCAGGCAAGGGTCCCTCCTCGGCGGCAAGAAGACACCCCTTCCTTGGTCAAAGGATGCGCTGGGGCTGGCGGGGGGGCAGGAAAGGGACCCTTCCCCACCCTGATGTCTTGTGGGCCTTCAAGGCACTTGCAGACACTGAGGAGTGAGCAGCCAGCGCCGTTCCCCCTCCACAGTGATCAGAGTTGAATAACCGTTGGGACAGTATGTTCGCCCTTCACACACACAGACACGGACACACACACACACAATAAATAAAACAAAACTAGCTAACGATTTTAAACCAGACCTCTTTCAAATAAACTGAAAGATAAATATCTCCATCTGCAAGGCCAGCTTGCAATTCATCAAGCACCAAGTTACAGATTTTTTGTTTTTTAAAAAGGACGGTCACGGCTCCCGAGGGGCAGAAGGCAGGAGTGGGAGCCGCGTCAGAGCCCGGTCCCCGGGGTCCCTCCCGGCAGCCACAGCGGGGCAGTGCGGCCTCGCAGGGGAGCCACGCCCACGGACCCCGGCACCGCCCAGCTGGTGACAAGCTGAAAGCAAATACAGACCCAACGCAGAAGGCAAAAAGGAGAGAAGACGGAGGACAGGAAACAGGCCGCCTCTGAGGCATCTTCGAGGGGCAGAGTGCAATAACCAACAGGCCTTTAGGTTTTTAGAAAACTTTTTAAGCAGTTAAGTTTTGCCAAGCCTCCAGACAGAGAGCCCTCCCGAGCCACACCCGGCCCGTGGAGACAGACCACTGTTTCACACCTTCACTGAGCTACTTCCCAGCTGGAGGTCCTAGCCCGGGGCGGGGACAAGCTCCTGCAGGAGAAGCGGGTCCCTATTGGTGGAGCTGAGGGGCCGCTGTCTCCCACGTGAGCGCCAGGCAGGACCAGCTTCCCCAGGAGCCGCCATGGTCCTCAGGAACATTGCCAGGAGGCTGTGGCCACTTCTGAGTGGTCAGTGACAACCAAAAAGTGTCACCCTGCAGGGGTCGTGGTGAGGAGGCCTCTCTGCTTCATCGCGCCCAGAACATGTGGGCAAACACCTTGGAAAGCCAGGGTGGAATTTCTTCCGAATTGATCAATGATATCGGACCCCTGTTTTGGTGGCTGGAACACCAGAATCGAGGAGGTGCCGATCGGATGCTTTTGAAACACACCAAGTCTTTTCTCACTGGTTTCCACACGTGTCCGTCATCCCTTCTACAGTGAAATGAGATACATGCAAACGGGTGCGGAGTGGGGGGTGGGAAACCGCCTCGGGGCCCAGCGGCGAGAGCCAAGCCTGCACGCGCCTGCGCAGTGCTCACGGACAGCCCCACTCGCACACGCAGACGGTCACTGTGTATGCACGCACAGCAAGTCCACGCTACCTGCTGTTGGAGTCTCAGAGGCGGTCCCCCAAATAAAAGGCAGCCAGCATTTCACACCTCATCTGGAACATTCTTTCAGCTTTTAGGAATTCCTGACATGGCCCAAACCACTGCCTGGACTTCTGGGGACACTACTTTCAGTGTAACACCCTCACCCGGGCCGGCCCCACCCCGTCGCCAGGGTGGGAAGTCCGGGCCTCCTCACCCACCGACGCGCGGGACCCTCTGTCCCTCAGGTCCCGGCCCCAAAGTGCGGGGGAGCGATGCTTGAAGAGGGCGGTGTCCACGCAGGAGAGCGGGCACGCAGGGACAGCAGGCGGCGGGCTGGTGCCACGGCCAGCGGCGGAGGGGGGTCAGCAGAAGATCTCCTCACTCTCTGCGGGCACTTCTGATGCAGGGCCGTCTGGAAAAGGGGACACAGAAGGAAAAAGAAATTCAGAAAAAATCGAACTCCCCCTTTTCCTCCCCAAACACAAGGCTCCTAAGCTGCAGACAGATGAGGGGCTGGGGGGCCGCCCCCTGCTCGCCGCCCTCACTCCTGCCAGGAGCCGACGTGATACTGAAGTGCACACTGAGTAGAGATACTATTATCAGTCCCTGGATGAGGCCAGGGAAGGCGGGAGGCTAGAGTGCTCCCGGTAGGTGGGCTCATTCCTGAGCTAGATGGACGCCTGAGAGGTACGCCTGCCCTCTGCACGCATGTGCCGCCTCCTGCTGGCACGTGCCGCCCTCTGCACGCATGTGCCGCCTCCTGCAGGCATGTGCCGCCCTCTGCAGGCATGTGCCGCCTCCTGCAGGCATGTGCCGCCCTCTGCAGGCATGTGCCGCCTCCTGCAGGCATGTGCCGCCCTCTGCAGGCATGTGCCGCCTCCTGCAGGCATGTGCCGCCCTCTGCAGGCATGTGCCGCCTCCTGCAGGCATGTGCCGCCCTCTGCAGGCATGTGCCGCCTCCTGCAGGCATGTGCCGCCCTCTGCATGCATGTGCCGCCTCCTGCAGGCACGTGCCGCACCGAGCGACCTGGGAGGCTCCCTGAACTGGTGTCTCGGCTCGTTGCGGGCAGTGCAAGGGGGTTTGGTGAGAAGTAGTACAGTTTGGCTTTTATACACCCCACGGTCCCTCTCACTAACCTGTCCCGCCATTAACATCTCCCCCTCCTCGGGCTCCAAGACAACCCGGCCACGGGGAGACGGTGTGCGACTCACCCCCAGACGGAGAGCGGCCTTTGTTCTTCTTCTTTTTCTCCTTCTTGTCCTTTGGCTTTGCCAATCCAAACAGGCGGGTGGAGGAGGAGGTGGGCGCCGGGGTCTGGCTGGGGCCCTCCGGCGCTCTGCTGGGTTGGCTGGCAGAACTCAGTATGTGAAAAGGCCCCTTGTCTTTGTGTGTCCGAGCAATGCTGTTCCGTTTTGGGGACACCGAGAGTTCTGAGTCCAAGGACCCTGACTTGGCTATCGAAGGCGCGGGCGGCAGCGGGGACTCCTCGGGGTTGGGGAGGAAGGAGGGGATCCTCAGCAGCTTGGTGTGTGGATGGGAGACCTGCACACGTGCGAGAGGAGGGGTGTGCTCAGAGGCTGCGGCACCCGGGGCCACTCGGGAGGCTGGCCAGGCTGCAACCCCTGCCCCGGACTCCACAGCCCTCAACGTAAAAAGGCTCAGGACTCCTTTACGGCAGGATCTATGCAAGTGCTGAAAATGTCACCTTTGACACCATTACTATTTTTACTACATGCACTTAACGCCTGCATCATAAAGAATTAATAGGACCTTGGACGAGGTCCCTCCACTCCCTGAAGAAAGAGGGGAGCTGCGACCCTGAAGGCTGATGTACACAGGGATGTGGGGATTACTTGGGGCTAAGAGATTCTAGAAGCCTGTTCAGGGTAGAAGTAGAGCAGCTGGAGAGTGGCGTTTACACCAGGAGTCTATTCTGGTCAAAGGCCAAACCGAGATAAAGCGAGATGAGGGCCGTCAGCCCCACCCGCACTCTCTGTGCCCGTGGAGCCCGAGGACTGGAAGGAACCCTCCTGCATCACAAACACACACACACACACACACAGGACGACTCTGCAGGGAGCAGAACCGCCCCTTCTAGAAGCTGTCAGCTGAATTCTCTTTCATGGTCCAAGGTCAATCGATCCATCAAATGGCAACAGGACGTGTGTATCTACCCGGCGATCTGTGCCCGCCCAGGCTTCCGCCTGCCCCAGCGTCTGTGCTCCAGGATCGCACGGGGCCCTGCAGGAGCTCAGTGCTGCGGAGGGAAAGCCTGCTTCCCCGAGTAGCAGCTACAGCCCAAGAGGGCCTCCACCAGCACCTCAGCACCAACACCCTCTCCGCACAGAGCAGCTGCTTCCCACCCAGGGTGGGCTCTCCCTGTGACTGACACCCCTGAACCCACCTCCCCGTCCTTTCAGGGCCATTGACTGCCACCTGGTGCTCACAGGCAGGGCATGGGCCCTGAGCCTTGGCACGTTTCCCCACATGGGCTACCGGTTCCTTTAGGGGGGGCCGTTCTGATCTCTTTCTTGTTGTTAATCCTCATCTGAGGACATGTTTCCCATTGATTTTCAGAGAGTGGAAGGAAGGGAGGTAGAGAAGAGAGAGAGAGAAGAACATTGATGTGAGAGAGATGGAATCCGCAACCCAGGTAGGTGCCTCTGACCGGGAATTGAACCTGAGACCCTTCAATCCACAGGCCGGTGCTCTGACCACTGATCCACACCGGCCAGGGCCATTCTGATTTCTTACACGGGACAGAGCAGAGGGGCTGCTCCTCAAGTCCCAGCTGGCTGGCCACCACCGTCTCAGGCTCGCTGAGGACGTGTCCGTTAACTTCCTGATCAAGTCCCCAGCATTGCCATTCCCCACATCAACCTCTCGGGGATGGAAACAGGAGAGAAGACTCCCTTCCCCCTCCCCTTCCTATGAAAAGAGACTATAGACTCGGCCTTTCTCTCTCGCGTCCTTTCTCCTGGTGCTGAGCACAGAGGTCCCACTGACCGCGACCCCTTCTGCCTCGGCCCCTATACCTGACAGACGGCCCCCATACCTGACAGACGGCCCCATACCTGACAGACGGCCCCATACCTGACAGACGGCCCCATACCTGACAGACGGCCCCATACCTGACAGGCGGCCCCCATACCTGACAGACGGCCCCATACCTGACAGACGGCCCCATACCTGACAGACGGCCCCCATACCTGACAGACGGCCCCCATACCTGACAGACAGCCCCCATACCTGACAGACAGCCCCCATACCTGACAGACGGCCCCATACCTGACAGACGGCCCCATACCTGACAGACGTCGCGCTCCAGCAGACGTCGCGCTCCAGCTGCCTCTGGCTGAGCCGCTCCGTGTCCCGCTTCAGCTGCTCCTGCTCCCGCTCGAGCTGCTTCTGGGCCGTGCGCAGCCGCTCCAGGTCGTACTGGTAGGCGCCCCTCTTCTGCAGCAGCGCCTCCCGGTCCCGCTCCAGGTCCTGCTGGCCCCGCTGCACCTCCTCCTCGCGCTGGGCCAGCCGGGCCTCCCGCTCCTGCAGCGCCCGCTCCCGGGCCTCCCACTCGCGCTCCCGCCGCCGCCGCTCCTCCAGGTGCTGCGCCTGCTGCCTCTGCAGGTCGGCCAGGTCCTGGCGCTGCCGCTCCAGGCTGCGCTGCTTCTCCTGCTCCACCAGGGAGCTGGGCCGGGACGAGCTGCGGGCGAGTGCCCTCTCGCTCAGCAGCAGCTTCTGGTCCTCGATGTAGCTGTCCTGCTGCAGCACCACCCCCTGCAGGGCACCAGGAGGGACCGGTGAGCCTCTGGCTGGGACCGCGCTCCCTGCCCCTCCTGTCCTGGGTCCAGGGGCACCAGGCACGAGACTGAGGGCCCCGTTTACCCATAAGTAACCTCCAAACTAAAACACCCGGGCCACCAACACCCCCTCCGCACTGTTCTTCTGGAGAGAAATGCGTGAAGGGGCGGGAGAGGGGGCTCATACCTGCAAGGTGCTAAGGAGCTCGTGGAGGTGGACGATGCTCTGGATGACCTGCTGCACAGGGGACACAACGGAGACCTCCCGTCAGGACGGAGCCCCGACCCCGCCCCTGCCCCCGCCCCCCCGCCGGCCATCTGACCGACAAGCTCCCTACGCACACAAGGCACTTGCCTTCCAACCAAAGGCTTTCAAACTGAAAGCACCGAAGAGAATAAGTGGGTACAAGCAGTCAAGAAAAACATGACACAGGAAAAAGGACATATATGTAATACCCTTTGTAATGCTTTAAGCAATAAAAATAAAAAAAATAAATAAATAAAAATAAAGTTATTTCCTCATATTAAAAAAAAAAAAACAAAAAAAAAAAACCAAAAAACATGACACAAAGAACGGTGGTAGGCGGGACCTCAGAACATAGTAAAATGTATTATAAAGCGCCGGTCATTTAAAACGAGTGCCACCAAAATGACACACCTACCAATCTCACAGGACAGAAAGCACAAAGCCAATCGTAAGATTTTAGCATATGGTACAAGGAGCATTTGTACATCAATGGGGAAGAAATCGCAATGAATTATTCTGAGAAAATTAGCTAGATCTTTGGAAAAAATTAAGTTTGAACCCTGGTTCACACAAAAAAAAATTCTAATAGATTAAAATAAGTGTAAAAGAGCCATAACAGAACTGTAAGAAAGCAGGCAACGCTTCGGCACAAAGTCACGTGACGCCGGTGGCCAGCGTGACAGCCCTCTGCGAAGTGTGCAGAGCACAGCCCGGAGCCAGCCTGTTCACACAGGAAAACAAGCGGGAGTATTCCTAATGGAACAGTTACCCGCAAGTCACCCTCTTCAACAGCTCACCACGTCCTTACCTCATTGTTTCTTTTCAGCATAAACGCCAGGTTGGCATTTCCACCCTAGGAAACAAAAACCACAGTTTCAAAGCATGAAGGTCCCGGGGCAGGAAGCACACCCAGCGTGCGTCTGGGTCACACTGCGCGCCCCTCTGTCCTGTTCTACCTCAGCCTCTCATGCGGGGAAATGAAGGTTCCCCGCTGAGCTGCTGCTCGAGCCTTGTCAAGAGTTCATGTTGGTTTGGGCCTTTTACACAAACCTCTTGACAAAACTGGTCCTGCAGGGCCGGGCCGAGCTCTGAGTGTAAACATGAAGCTCTAAGTCGAGAGGCCACGCGGCCCGTGAGACGGGGACTCCTAATAGTACCGTGTGCTCAAACATGCGCTTTCCTCTTCAGATCAAGTGGGAAACAGAAACAGCAAGTCAGGAATCCAAAACGAGATCAAAGTGGACGAATTCCAAAGCCTATGAAATCAGAGCGCAGTGCCCAGGAGGTCGTGGTGCATTTTGGGAAAACATGCCTTTTTCAGACCGCTGTCCGATTCCGTGCGCCGCAGGTCCTGGCCATCGTCTCCCTCCTCCTTGTCTCCTCCTAAACACACAAACAGGCGTGTCCCTTCAGCTGTGCAACAGATTAGCCAGGAAAGAATACAACACACACGGCTTAGGGATGCGGTATTTCTGAGCCCCACTAAGGACAAAGGCTGGGAGGCCACCTGGAGGCAGCCAAGCGACTCCTAATCGTTCTACTGACGCCGAAGAACCAGAAGCAAATGGAAGGACGAGTGTTGTTCTGCCTCCGGCTGCAGCTTAGCTGAGACCCGGAACCCCTTCGTTATGCGACATGAACCTGACCCTGAGACAGCTCCCTGAGTGTATGGCAGCAGGTCCTTAGGAGACTCGCGCTGAACCATTACGGACGACTGAGACCATTTCTAGTTCTGCTAGTCCAGGACGGCCTCTGAAAGCACCAGCTCACACTCACTCACCTTTGGAAGCGTTCATCTGGTGGCTGTCGAATCCCCCGAAGGTCTCTGCTCTCCGGGGCAAGGAGACGGGGCCAACTGTGCCTTCCTGCCCCGCAGGGCTGCTCCCCGCCGGCCCGAGGGGGCCTCCCAGGCTTCCACTCACCAAACCCTGCAGGATCTCCACTGGGAAGAGGAAACAGGCAAACCCTACGTTAAAAAGCTCAGATTTTTCCAAAATAAATTGTGTGGAAAAGGATGGTGGGAGGGGCTGGAAATTAAATTTTACACATAAAGAACAGGAGCAAGACTAAACAGTGGGGTCTACACAGAGGACTGGGCCACAGAACCATAAAGAAATGGAAGTGGGCACTGTGAGTCCCAGCACCTGCTCTTTCTGGAGGGCGGGAGCCAGCTTTGATGGGGACAGGACACATGGGAGGGCTCCTAGGGTGTCTGGCCACAGTTTACTTCTTGGCCTGGGGAGTGGCTACAAGATGCTCACCTGGCCCTGGCCGTGTGGCTCAGTGGGTTGGAGCACTGTCCCATACACCAAGGGGTTGTGGGTTCGATTCCCAGTCAGGGCACACAGCCAGGTTGCAGGTTCAATTCCAGGTTGGGAAGCATACGGGAGGCAACTGATCGATGTTCCCCTCTCTCCCTCTCTCTTTCTCTCTCGCCCTCCCTCCTTTTCCCCGTCTCTAAAATCAAATTTTTTTAAAAGGTGCTCACCTGGTAACTCACTAACGTGAAATGTTTGTTTGGGGTTGTTTTCTGTATTTGTGCTGTTTAACAATAAGAAGTAACAGTGTACACACCACACTGGGGAAAGAAGGGGAAGCAGTGAACGGAGATTACCCTCATTTATTGCACTTTTCATTAAAGGTCCTCCCTTGAGCGCCTCCTCTGTGTTGGAGCGGAAGAGGATTCGAGGGCTGAGGGTCGGGGAGTATTCCTCCGACAAGGGGGTGCTGCACTCCATCATGTCCCGAAAGATCACCTCCTTCTCTTCTAGTAGGAGCAGGATCTGCTGGTCCTTTTGCTGAAGTTGTTCTGAGGTGGATGGAGAAAGGACTGGTGGTTTGATCCCTTGGTATGATGCGGTGACTAAGACACGAGCACCACCTTGTGGTATCTCATGGGACAGCAGAGAACAGAGCTTTCCCCCTTTAATTTTCTTCCTGGAGACTGTGTCAAGTTTTCCTTCTGTGATTTCTATCTAGTAACCTCCCCTCGTCCTTCTAGGCAAACACTGGGATTTCTGACATCACAAGCCAGCGCGCTTTTCTGGCTTTTGCCCATCACTACATCGACTCGCTCCAGGGCCATAAGGAGGTCTTCTATGTCAGCCTTTCCAGCACGGAGATCCCTCCCTCCTGTGAGGCCCTCACTGGTTCTCTTCCTACAATCCTCCCTCAGGTACAGACCTGTCCCCTGCACTGGAATATCTGGGGTCCCCTTGGCTCCATCCTGGGCTGCTGTCTAGCCTTACACACCTCCCTCCTGGGGTCTCCTTCACTGCCATGCCTTCAATTACTGCTGGTGCTAATACCCCAGCACCGGCAAAGGGGGATGAGCACTCAGCTCTGCTGTCAGGAGACAGGGAGCAAAATCCTGGCCCTGCCGTGAACTGTAGGTGGGCCCTGGTTGGCGCGGCCTTTGGCGCCTCAGCTTTCTCATCTGCATAATGGGCACGAGAATCCAAGTCTCGCAGGGACATTGACAAGACCACACAAAACAGTAGGGACTTCGTAGTGGTCAAGCATAATCAACAGGCACCCTTCTCCCCAAACCACCTCAGAACTCACTGGTGAACGTACGGCACAGCAGCCAGGGTAACATGAAACCAGACTGACCGGGAAGTTCTTTTCCTCAAGTCCCTTTCCCTCTTGTTTTAATCTTAGATGTGACCTTGATTTTTGCAAAATTGTCTGTGGCAAAGGGTCCCAGAAGACGGATACTGAGACAAGAGAATCAAGATTCCTGGGATCTAGGGTGGGACACAGTCTTACGTCTGCTTTGTACCAGGACTGTGACAGCTCAGACTTGGTTTCTCTTTTGTGAAAAGCTCTTGATCCCCCCGTTTTGGAGTGTCTGCAGGGCAGCTCTGGAACCCAGGCCCTGGGAGAACACCACAGACAGGGTCTCAGGCCACTTCCCACCGCGTTACCTTTTAATTCCCGGGCTTTGGTGTCCAACATTTTCTTTTCTTCCTCATTCTCACTTGGAATTCCTTCATCTTCATCTCTGTTCCTAACACAACCAAAATAAAACGAAAGGAAAGATCCCTGAGACATGGATTACCCTGGGACTGCCGGCGATCAGGAAAGCGCGAGGCAGGAGGCCCGGGCGGGCGTGCGGCTTACAGGGTGTTGATTGTGTCCTGGATGATCTGGATCCAGCTGTTGCGCTCCTCTTTGGAGCTGGCGTGGACTTCCACCATCTCCGGGTCCTTCATGCCCATGCTGATGAGGAATAACCCCTTCTCCTCGTGCGCCACCTCCCTCACAATCAGCTTCTTCAAGGAGATCACTGTCGATTTCTGGTCCTAGAAGAAGGGGGGAGGGGCAGATGTAAGAAATGTTCACAATAGTCTAACTCTTAGGGACTTCAATCTCAGGTGAGACCGGATGCCTTTTTATTTGTGTTGTGTGTTTAAATTTATTTTTATTGATCTCAGAGAGGAAGGGGAAGGGAAAGAAACATCAATCATGAGAGAGAATCATTGATCAGCTGCCTCCTGCACACCCCCTACTGGGAATGGAGCCAACAACCTGGGCATGTGCCCTGACCTGGAACCGAACCATGACCTCCTGGTTCATAGGTTGATGCTCAACAACTGAGCCACACCAGCCAGGCAAGATGCCTTTTTAAAGCACATGGTTAGCCCTGACCAGTTTGGCTCAGTGACTAGAGCGTCGGCCTGTGGACTGAAGAGTCCCAGGTTCGATTCCGGTCAAGGGCATGTACCTTGGTTGCGGGCACATCCCCAGTAGGGGGTGTGCAGGAGGCAGCTGATCGATGTTTCTCTCTCATGGATGTTTCTAACTCTCTATCCCTCTCCCTTCCTCTCTGTAAAAAAATCAATAAAATATATTTAAAAAATAAATAAAGCACATGGTTAAACAATGGTATATGTAGGATAAAGAGAAATATCTCATTATTTCACTTACATTTTATCAAACAGAAAAAAGTTCCACAAAGGAAATGACAATTTATGGCTATGAAGGTTTGAGTCATGTTTTCTACATGATGAATCTTTCCATGTTCCTCACAGAATCTGGCTAGCAATATTATATATTAGCATGATTTATGGGGCACAATGGGTGAGAAATACTCCAGTGATCAAATGTCCGAGGCTCTCAAAAGGATTGTAAAGAAACAGAAAAAAAAAAAAATTTGGGGGGGGGATAGGGGAGTCTGGGAGAGGGACAGAAAATTGTTATTATATAAGAAATTATCCAGACAAATTTGTCCTGAGCTGATGGATTTTGAGAGCAGGGAGACCAACAACACAGTGTTTCATTTATGCTCAATTTATCCTTAACTGTCCTGAACACTGTTATTAATTACAAACAGAAGAGACGAACAATTGAGCTTACCAATGACGCAAAGACGTACTTCTGGTCTTTTTCTTGAAGGAAAACTAAAATGTCAGTCAGCAGAACTGCTTGGACCTCTGCAGGGCGGGGGAGAGAAGAGAACAATGGCTGTTGAACAGGGTAGCTCTGAGCAGCATTTTCATGAGTAATTCGCAGCACACCCAGAGCCAGGCAGGGCCAGGCTGCACGGCCTCACATTGCGCCAGGACCCGGATCTGGTCACTAGGCTTTCAGGGGCATTTCAAAATGGGGTTTTTATCACCAGTGCCCCGTCTTGGAAAAGTTTAAGTATTTAGTTCTGAAAAGATCCATCTCATGAGGAAAGATCTGAAGAATAAAATACTCGAGGAATATAATTGGAGAGCAGGACTTGAACAGATGTTAGACAGCAACATATTCCACAAAATACTCCCGGTCGCAGGACTTCCCACCTTCCGCTTAGAGCGATGGGAAAGGCGTGGGATCGCAGGCAGGAACGCTGCCAGAAGGTGATGTGGAAAAGTCTCTAAGTGTCAGAACAGAAGGCTACACACCGCCCTCTGATTCCACAGGCAGGTGTGAGCACGTGGCTTTGTGTCAAGTCCACCTCAGCCTCTCCATGCCACGAAACAGCCTTCTCTGCTTCTCAACGCACATGAACATCTCTAGTTGGATCTAGGAATCAGAAGGCCACAGCCTGGCCGGCGTGGCTCAGTGGCTGAGCATCAACCAATGAACCAGGAGGTCGAGGTTTGATTTCGGTGAGGCACATGCCCAGGTTGCGGGCTCCATCCCCAGTAGGGGGCGTGCAGGAGGCAGCCGATCAATGGTTCTCTCATCATTCATGTTTCTATCTCTCTCTCCCTATTCCTTCCTCTCTGGAATATTTAAAAGGCCACAAACTCCTGATGTAATCCTGTAGGAGCACAGATGACACCTTGCATCTCTGCCTGAAGGATAAAGTCGGACATCTCTGCAGTGAGCCTCCTGTGGCATCCTCTCTGGAAAGGGGGACCACGACTCCGTGGGAAGAACGGCACTGACACGTGCAGCCCTCCTGCCGCTCCGGGTCACCACTGCAAAGCCAGGAAGAAAACAAGCGAGGCTGCCTCCCTTCCAGGGAGGGCGAGTGTTCAGCCTGGATGACAGTCATTTTCCAGGCACTGCCTTTTTTTTTTTTAAGTTTACTTTAAGTAATTCAGGTGCCTGCCAAAAAAAAAGGTTCTAAAACACAAGTTTCACCCTCAGTGGATCCTGAGGTTTACACGCTCGGTGTCAGGGGCCCGGAGAAACCCCCCCCTTCAAAGGGCACCCACACAGGACTGGCTGTTCCTGGCACGAGTTCACTGGGGGGAGAATGACTCAACACCCACTTCTATCTGCGCTGGCGGCCTTTCGGGTCAGAAAACCTATTGCTCCGCCGCGGGCTGGACCACAACTTCATCCCAACATCTGGGACCTGTTAGTTTTTGTTAGGGGAGTGGATAAACGGCTTTGTAAAGGAAAGAATACGGAGCCAGCTCCAGCTGGAAAAGTTAGGCCTCACAGGGCAGGGAGGGCCAGCCAGCAGCTCAAAGACAGCGGGAGAGAGCAGTGCGGACGGCCCCGAGCCAGGCCTGTGGCCCTGTTGTCCTTCTCTTGTAGGGACATACACCGTCCTTAACACCTGCGTGTTATCTGACCTCTTGCTTTGGTCTGAAGGCTGATGCTCTATCCTCTGAACCAAGGGCTACACTTGGTGTGTTTACATGATTTTAGAAGCTCTCTCAAACCAGACCTTTTGGATGCAAGATTAAGAACAATTACATGATGGTTGTTCCTGCATGATGTTTGGATATGGGCTCCCTCGGAAAAACCTGGTGGTGGGTTTCTAACAAAAACACTTGGATTTTGCCCGCTGTCCTCTGGCACCTGCTCAGAGCGAGAGAGAAAACTCGACCCGCACCTTTCAACCTGCCCGCGGCGTTCTTCAGAAACACACTCCCGTCCCGCACCAGCTTCTTCCGCTTCAAGTCCTCCTTGGCAAACATCTGACCGCTCTTCATCCTCATGATCGACTTGCTATCTGTCTTCGTGTAAATCTCATTCAGACGCACTTTCTTCTCGTAACTCGCCACTTTGCTGTCCACGGCTCCAATCACCTCCTTCACGAGGCTCAGGGACTGAGCCAGGTCTTGCTGCTCCACCTCGTTGTCTGAGAAGGAAAGGAGAATGGTTTCCCATGGAGCCTTGCAGACAAGGGCAGGAGGGGCCCTGCCCTCCGCCCTCAGCCTTCTCCCTGTGCGCACGCTGTCGGAGCAATGCCAGTCTGTCTACGATCATGTGCTTATCCCGCTCTTGGGGACAAGTTTAAATCTAAGTAAAGCTAGACATTTGCGATAATATAGGAAACATACAATTATATGCTACGTTCGCAAGTAGAAGGAGGCAAACCTTTTTAGGGAGGAAGAGGAGCAACAAGTTTCTTACTTGTCTGTTTCACCTCATCTTTCATGTAATGGCGTATGAGCAGGATTAGCCATGAGTGCGTGAGAAGGAGCGGCCATCCCAGCGCTGACGGGAGGAATCGGGGGGAACTATCACCCGTCCAGTGACAGGGAGAAGTTATTCAGATCATTGGACTCTTTCCCCCCAAACTATGAAAGTTTACGTAGGAAGTCACGGAGGCAGAAGTGAGCAGTAGAAGAAAACAAGGAAACAAGGAAACAAGGAAACAAGTTATAGAGGAAACAGAAGGGCGTTTGGAACTTGGGGGGGAGGGTACGGGGGGAGGGATACGAGCCTTGAGAGGAGAAAGAGGAAGGAAAGGTGCCTACATGCTCCAGAGAGAGAGAGACAGACAGACAGACGGACAGACAGACAGAGGAAAGGGAGGGAGGATGCGCCCAGGTCACTGAACGCTTGATGGGATCACTAAGGGGTTCCTTCCCTTCTCACTATGACCCACTCTCAGTCTGCTGACATCATGTTCAAGTGTGTGTGTGCTAACCCTCACCCGAGGATATTTTCCCATTGAATTTTAGGGAGTGGAAGGGAGGGGGAGAGACAGAAACATCAATGTGAGAGAGACACATTGACTGGTTGCCTCCACATGTGCCCTACCAGGGTCAGGGATTGAGCCTGCAACTGAGGTACATGCCCTTGACCAGAATCGAACCTGGGACGCTTCAGTCCATGGGCCAACCCTCTAGCCCCGGAGCCACACTGGCGAGGGCGAATGTTTCACGTTTTTACTAAAACACCGCGGTTTTGAAGATAAAGACCCAGGATCCCTTTAGGCCCGTAAAGCAGGAACGCTCACCCTTGGTGCACTGCAGGATCCTCTGGAACAGCACCGGGTACTTGGTGATCCGCTGCGTGACCAGCAGTATGCACTCGGGGATGCCCAGCCGCCTCACCACCGCGCTGCTCATCTTCTTCTGCAAGGGAACGAGAGCGTGAGGACCCGCCCAGCGGAGGCGCCGCTCACCCTGTGGGACACGGCGCTCGGGACCACGACGGGTGCTCCTGCTGCACGGCACTACCTTCACGAAGGCCTGGAAGCGCTTGTCCTTGGTGTACAGGTCTTTGAAGTAGTTCACCGACTGGTTGTGCTGCCCACAGAACTTGCCGTACGTCTTCTTCAGGCGCTCGGCGTTCTCCCCGGAAAACTGCACAGGAGAGAGCGGAGGTCAGGCCGTAACTCAGACGCCACATCTGAGCACCATTTTGTACACAGCTGTGTGTCCGTAGAACCCAAGATACTTCCTCATAAACTGCCCCAAAGGATTAAAATGGTGCAGCAGCTTTGGCAAACAGCCTGGCAGTTCCTCCAAAAGTTCAATAACCCAGCAAGCTCACTCCTAGACATAAACCATGTGCCCGGCCCAGCTGGTGTGGCTCCCGGGCATTGTCCTAGGCACCAAGAGGTCCCCGGGCTCGACGGCCGGTCAGGGCACAGGCCCGGATGGCGGGCCCGATCCCCAGGAGGGGGCATGCAGGAGGCAGCTGAGAGATGTGTCTATCTCTTCCTCTCCCTTCCTCTCTATCTAAAAATCAATACAAACATGTATTTAAAAAATGTGTCCACACAAAAACTTACATACCTATGTTCATCATTCAAATAGCCCCAAAGTGGAAATAACCCATCAAAGGATAAATGTACACATAAACTGTGATATGCATGAGTATTACTCAGCCACAAAAGGAAAAGAAATACTGACTTCATACATGGTACAATACTGATGAACCTTGAAAGCATTATTCTAAACAAAAAGAGCCAATCATAGCCTAGTTGGCGTGGCTCAGTGGTTGAATAGCGACCTATGGACCAGGAGGTCACGGTTCGATTCTCAGTGAGGGCACAGGCCCTGGTTGTGGGCTCCATCCCTGGTAGGGGGCGTGCAGGAGGCAGCCGATCCATGATTCTCTCTCATCACTGATGTTTCTACCTCTCTCCCCCTCTCCCTGTCTCTCTCTGAAATCAATGAAAAAAAATTTTTTTTTAAGAGAACAGAATTAGAAGAGAAAAGCTACTGTCCTCGTTTACAGAAAAGGAAACTGAGGCTCGGAGAGAGGAGCAATTTGCCTGAGCACACAAAGGTAACGGACGCTACAGCCGAGATGCGAGTGCCAGCTGCTGAGCCCAAGCCTCCTCCCCCTCACCTGATTCACAAGCACATCGCCCATCCTCCTGATGAGGAAGTTCCTCTCGCTCTTATCCACCAGGGACTCCTTCTTCCGCTCCAGGATCCTCTGGAAGAACTGGCTGTGGATGCTGATCAGCTCGTCCAGACAGGGGAACAGCTTCTCCACCATCTGCTGCTCGAAGAGCAGCTCGGTCATCATGCCCCGGCTGTACACGTCGCTCATGATCTTGAGCGTGCGGATGTGGTGCAGCTCCGTCTGCATCAGCTCTGCCGGGACAACGCTCGGTGGTCAGGGCCGCTGCAGGGCCCTCCTCCCAGCGCCCCTGCTGCTGCCAGCAGCCCACGGAGTCTCGGGCTACTCAGAGCCACTTTAAGTGTTAAACCTGGGTCAGCAGCTGCCTTCCCTATAGCGTTCTCCTCCTCTTCCTCCCGCTCCCCTGGGACCCGCCGCAGGTGCTGGGGCCTCATCACCCTGGCAGTTTCCCAATCAGTCTTCACTGGAATTGAAACCTTTCATAATGTACCGTGTTCCTATTTCCTAGAAACAGGAAATAGTGACTCGTCCCTAGTGCGGTGGAGGCAGTAAACTGCCACAGAGACTTCTTGTTCGGCCTGTGGCATAAATAAGCTCTCATAGTAAATAAAACGGCCAATACAATTAGAGAAAGCAATTGTAAAGACGAAAAGGGATAGAAAGAAGTAAGATCATATCTCTATACCTCAAAGTTGTCAAGGAAAATCTTTGAGATGCTACACAGATGAACACTGACTCTCCACAGCCCAGTGAGTGGCCCACGGCACCCTCTGGACCCCACGCACATGCAGGGCCAGCAGAGCAAGGGCAGGGTCTCACCATAGATCACCTCCTGCCGCTTGACCGCATCCTTCTTCTGCTGCTTCAGAAACTTGCTGTCCACCACGCGGCTCCAGGACTCCGCCTCCAGCTGCTTGGACTCGCTCTCGAAGTCGCCCATCAGCTGTCCTTCATTCATGTCTGTACCTACTCCTCAAAACAGCAACGAGCCAGCATCACAACCCTGTCTGGGACCTCTCGGAAGCCCGCGTGGACTTCCTTGGGTGTGAGCACTTCCTAGGACGCGGACACGCTGCGTGAATCCTGGGGTGTTCACAGAACCACCTTCCAGTAGAGAAGGGACTCACTGCCGGTTTGGGGGCGACACGCTCTCGCCAAGGCTTTGCTAGAGTGGTGAGCACCACACACATCAAATGCCATGAAGACACAATTCCTACGTGAAGTAGGAATTGGATGGGACCTGGGAAGTTTGCTTGTTTAAGACAGTAGGCTTACACTGAGCCGAGAGAGCTAGAACTTAGAGTCTGGGGGCGGGGCGGAGAGAAAGTGTTTGTATAGAATATGACTGTATTAAAAGCAAGGACATCTTTCAATGGACAACTATCTAACAAGTGGGCAGGTGTGATTACCAATTAATCACAAAGCACTGGATGTTTAGACAACTATAGACAACTTAGACCAGGGGTCCTCAAACTACGGCCCGCGGGCCACATGCAAATACAAATATTGTATTTGTTCCCGTTTTGTTTTTTTACTTCAAAATAAGATATGTGCAGTGTGCATAGGCATTTGTTCATCGGTTTTTTTTTTAAACTATAGTCCAGCCCTCCAACAGTCTGAGGGACAGTGAACTGGCCCCCTGTTTAAAAAGTCTGAGGACCCCTGACTTAGACAATCCTCACAGGAGTAAGAAGAGGCAAGCACTAGATTCCACCAACGCCTCTATTCTGGGTGAGGCAGCGGCACAGTCGCTACAGAAAACGAAGTGTAGGCTACAACTTCCTCTTACCCTCGTCAGTAAGGGATTCTGTGGACTCGTTGACCTTGACGATTTTATTCAGCGAGTCTGTGGAGTGCGACAGGAACTTCCAGGTGTTGGATATGTTCTCGTCGTTGCCAACTCTGGGGACAAAGAGCAGCGTGTCACACACGGGGATGAGCCACGGTCTGCGTTGTCCACTGAGGACCTGGACGATCAGCGACAGCTGCCCACGGACCGCATGACCCAGACACAGGCTTATGCTGGGAACCCAGGAGCAAGAACTACTCATCGAAGTTAAAGCACTTAGCGTCACTGCAAACCTGAACTATGAGCCTTGGGTTTTATTAAAATGATAGATAAGAAGAAGAATGCTCTGCCCCCAAACTGTATACACATTATAGAAGGAACTTCTCTGTCTGACACCGTCTAACCACTGCATTTCCCTCCTGTCCCCCAATTACAGGCTGAGCACTTATAATAAACTGGATTCTTTTAAAAATTTTTAAATATTTTTTATTAAATTTATTGGGGTGATATTGGTTATTCTTGTGCTCTCTTGACCCCAACTCACCAGCTAGCACAGTAGGCACCCAATAAATGTTTGTGATATGACACAAGGGATTGGCACTAACAATTCAGAATGAAATCACCCTTTTTCCTATTCCTACTTCCTATTTTGATTAGAAACCACCCTTTCAGAACTCAGGGTTTTACAAGCGGGGTAATGATATACAAAAGCGTAGGACAACCTGGCCCGATGAGGGTGTTTAAAGGGGATCCTTGTGACAAATTGTAGCCACAGCAGGGAGTGATCAAATGGAATCCTCATTCTCATCGGAATCACTCCGTGTACTCCAAACCCATTATCGAGATCTTTTTGTCAAATGATATGACTATGCCCTTGTCACCTATATGTCACTGTGCTATCCTTGAACCCCCACTCACCCAGCGATGTTCTGTATGGAGACACTTTTGGACAGCGACATGCTCTGCTGGGACCGTCTATTGGGGAACAGGGGGGCGGCAGTGGTTTCATCAGCCAGGAGGACTGCGGACCGAGGGCGCTCCTTGGGCTGCGAGGCTGTGAAGGGAGAGAGGACACCAGCTGAGCGTCACCGCTCCACGCCCACCAGGACTGACTCATCTGACAAAGGCCACGGAAGCGCACTGCTCTACAGCCAACTTGCCCTGGGAGTGTGAATGGGTGGAAAACTCCAGGGAGGACAATTTGGCAATTTCTATTAAAACTGTATATGCCTATACACTTTGATCTAGTAATTCTATTCCAGGATATGTTTATTCCATAAGATATACTTGTTTGTGTTTGAAATGACACATGTCCAAAGTTATTCAATGCAACATTATTGATAAAATAAAAGATTGGAAATGATACAAATGAATATCAAAAGAAGACCAATTAATACATTATGGCCTGGCTGGTGTGGCTCAGGGGTTGAGCATCAACTCAGGAACAAGGAGGTCGCTGGTTGGATTCCCGGTCAGGGCTCGCCTGGGTTGTGGGCTTGATCTCCAGTGGGGGCTGTGCAGGAGGCAGCCGATCAATGATTTTCTCTCATCACTAATGTTTCTCTCTCTCTCTCTCTCTCTCTCTCCCCCCCTCTCTGAAATCAATAAATATATGATTATTTTTTTAAAAAACACACAGATCACTGGGCTAATCCTCTGGAATTTCTGACTCAGGAGGTCTGGGTAGGGTCCAAGAATCTGCACTTCTAATTAATCCAGAAACGACACTTGAAAAACCCTGCCTGAGGGGTAAGTCGCACACGGGCTCCCATCGAGCCAATTAAGACGGCATCCATTACTGTTATTTTTATGGGTGAAGTTGGAAACAACTCAGATATATGTCTTGGGGGGAACTGGTAACTAAAACGGGGTGCATATTTATAAGAGAGCACCATGCAGCAGTGTTAACAACAGTTTACATGTTATCTCAGAAGGGTAGCGAGTGGGGGGGAAAGCAGAATGGATATTTTCAGAGATCTCCATGTCTAAAGACATGACGGATTAGAAGACGCACATTGGACACACTACAGTCGGCACCCAGGAGGGTGAGGAACGAGAAAGGAGATGGAGAATGGAAATGGGAACTGTAATAATACTGTATGTCAACTGTAATTGAAAAGTAAATAATTATTAATAAAAAAGGGAACTATATTAAGTAAAACCAAAGTGAAGCCTTGTGCAGACTGGTGAACACACAGTCTGATGTGAACGGAGAGTAGGATTTCCGTTGTTCTGTGGACCACTTGCAGCCTTTGAAAAAGAAAAGAGCGCTTCCCAGTTTATCAAGCCATTTAATAAGCAAGATCGCTTCTGACTCATGCAATTGTGAAGCACTAAGAGCAAGAATAACTGTCAACTCACTGAATAGGAATTGCAAGGTGCACAGGAGTCACTGACTTAAACAGCCAGGATCTCGGTGCCGCCTTTTAAAAAATCCTCATCTAAGGATACGTTTTTGATTTTTTAGACAGAGAGGAAGGGAGAGAAATATCGATGTGAGAAAGAAACATCGACCAGCTGCCTCCCGCACGCACCCCGACCGGGGACTGAACTCGCAACCTTCTGGTGTACAGGATGATGCTCCAACCAACCGAGCCACCGGCCGGGGCATGGTGCTGCCTTTGAAGCTACTACACTAACTAGAAACCTTCCAAGAGAGACTGATAACATGTTAAGCTTTTGGTCAATAAACCTGCAGCCTTCTCTAACTTAACACAAAATAGATACGCACATCTTGATTGGTAGCCAATGAGCAGACATAAGCATGTTTAGGTCTTGAACGAGAGTCAGGAAGAACCGTGAGAGGCGGGCTGGGCTACTTACGCTTGTTCCTCATGATGACCGTGGGCAGGGATGACGTGTCGTGCGCCTGAAGGCTCCCTTTCGGCTGCTGAAAGGAGAGAAAGTCACACGTGGAGGTGGCATTTACTCTTCACCTTCTGTCACGCGTCAAGAAGCCAAAGTAGAAAGACGGCCAGGTGCTCCCCCTTCCCCGCTGTGTCCTTGGCAATGTCCTCAGCACCCTAGTCCCAGCCAGTCCCCTGCTGGCTTCCAACAAGCCCGCCACTCGCTCTGATTCCACAAAGGCTGCTCCTTTCTGCCTGGAAGGAGCCCGCCTTCCCAGGATGGCATTCTTCTACCTCACGGCCACCTGAGCATCCCCTCCGTGGCGAATGACCCATTAGCGCTTTCTTCTCACCCACGGGCACCCCCTCGGGATCCCGCTGCCTGAGATCTGGGGTACAAATCTGAAATCTTCACACGGGGTCACTGCTTCCGCAGGTGCGGTCCTCAGACCAGCAGCATCCGCTAGGGACTCACTAGAAACGCACCTCCCCGGCCCAACCCGGAATCTGAATCTCTGAAGGTGGGCCCAGTCGGCTGACTTCTAACAAGCCCCCGAGGTGAGTCTGCTGTACATTCGAGTCTGGGGCCAGGGCGCTGGATAAACGTGCCTGGTTATCGATGAATCACACGGCCCCGGAGCACGTGTGCAGACGTAGCTGGAGAGGCTGTGGGTGACTACAACACAGCAGGCACCTAAAGGCTATGCCCCCAAACCACGCTCTTCTCCTCCGGGCCGCCTGAGAAGCAGTGCACATCACCACACGCTGTGACCAGCACGCATGCTCAGGCAGGGACCGTCCCCATGCCCCGTGAGAAAGGGGCTGCCAGACACGCATCTAACCCTAACACCCCGGCCCGAGCACGGCAGAGCCCCCGCCCCCGCCTGCCGCCTCAGGGTCCTGCCTGAGGAAGCCGTAAGTGAGCAGCAGAGTAGGTCTGCAGACGCAGCTAAGAAGAACATCACTCCAAAAGCGACACAAGAGAACCTCAGAGAAATGTGTATCTAACGTGAACAAGTTCTGAAAACACTGCATTTTCCAAAAGCCACAAATTCCCAAGTATGTTCACTGGAAAGACAATAAATTACTTAAGAGGAAAAAATTTATTTGGGGGGTTATTTTGGTCTCGAAGTTGGGACCAAATGACGAAAAGAAAGAAAACCCACAACACCTCAACTCTCCCAGCTCTGAGACTGGACTGGTTCAGGCAGAAACGTCTTACCTTCATTTTGACCTTCGCACAGGAGGCCAGACTTTCTCGACAGCCTTTGTGGACGAAAGCACTGCAATCTGAAAAGGAAGCAAGAAAACCCGCAAGGTGACATTCACACACGAGCCGATCCCAGGTTCTGACTTGGGCCCGGCAGCCCGGAGCGCCCGTGTGCAGCGCTCACACGGGGGACAGAGTGGCGGAGCGCAGACTGCGGGCCTTCTCCCAGGCGGGCGTGTGATGTCACCCGGAGGAGGAGAGAAGCAAGAGCAGATGTGGTTTCTGATTAACAAAGACTCGAAGTCTGGGATCTCAGGCAGGAAGCTGAAAGGCTCCCAGAACTAAAACGAAGACTGCCTGCCTCAATATGTCACCCTGAGTCACGAGGAAATGCATAAATAAAGCCCCCGTCAGAGGGGCTGGGAACGTGCGTGACTATGTCAGAGGCAGCGTGCGAAGCTGAAAACCCGAGTCTGTCCTTTTACCTGGAACCCACCCTGAGTCAAGAGCCACAGAAGACGGGTGAGGAGAGCCCCGAAGCCCTGACTCAGGAAAAAGAGGGGCCTCCCTGACCGATGGAGCAGGCACCAGTTTGCCAAGGACACAATTTCATTTCCACTCTTTTGCTTGTTTGTTTGCTTTTTAATCCTCAGTGGAGGATACTCTGTCCACTGATTTGAGAAAGAGTGGAGGGGAGGGGGAGGGAAAGAGAGGAGAGAAACATGGATGTGAGAGAGCCACATCAATCAGCTGCCTGCCAGGCTGGGCAACCCACAACCCAGGTTCGTGCCCTTGACTGGAGTCAAACCTGGAACTCTTTGGACCAGGGCCGGTGCTCTAACCACTGAGCCGCCGGCCAGGGCATCTCAATTCTTACTTGTCACTCTCTTGGCCTAACAGGGCCACTGGCATAAAATCCCAGCCCTCTGTGCCTCAGAGGGGTCATCAGTGCTCACTGCTGCCATGACGTCAGAGACCAGAACTGTGCCAGAGGCCAGAGGTGAAGTCAAAACAAATAAAACGTCCCTCTGTGGGGACAACTGCCTCTCCAGGGAACAGGCTCCCTGAGAATAGGAACCAGATGTCATCCACTAAGCAACGCTTCACACAGATTCAGGAACTACACAGCTCCTAGCCATCTCAACTCCCTAACTACGGGCCGAGATGTTCTCTTAGCTGGTACATACGGATGGGACGGGGGGTGGGGGGAGGGGGTGTGGGTGATGATGGGGAGGGGATGATGCTAGGACGGGGACTGCCAGAATCCCAGACCCAAAGGCCTTCTCGAATTCCTTCCTCTACAGTGGCTCCTCGCGCCTACTTGGCCCACGTTTCTCTGTCATCGATTCATGGATGTTTCCATCTCTGTATCCCTCTCCCTTCCTCTCTAAAAATAAATGAGGGGGGGGGGATTAAACAAACAAACAAAAACTGACCAACTAGCACACTGTGAGCAGGCCTTGCAGCCCAGCTGCATGTGTCCTTCCTCCCGATGAGGCCCATCGTCCTGCGGAGAATGACGTCACCTGCTGAGGGCGTGGTGCTAACACTTACACAGACCTCAGCAACACTCATGTTTGAGATTTAAAAAGACAACTTCAGCTGGTGAATCATAAAAGCAGAAATAATGTTTACAATGTGCTTCCAGTAAACAACTTTTCACACGAAGTCCCTTTTCGGGACCTGTCCCCACACCCACACCCAGATGGAACGCTAATATGCTCTATGGTCTGGTCACGTCTTAATGATAAACACTCCGCATGGACATCTGCTTCACACACTCAAGTGCCGACTGGACAGCCACTCAGCTTGTTTCCACGCTGGGCTGGGATCCGCACAGCCGCGGGGTCAGGGGTGTGCGTGGGTGACTTAGGAACCTCGGCCCCACCCGCATCAGCCAAAGTCATGAGCTAAAACCTTATTCTCTGTTTTGGAAAACAGACATTTACCGAGAACACAGGAATCAGAGACAAATCGATCACCTTTTCAAGCTCTCTGCCACCAACCATACCACGCTGCTAGGGAAGGCAAAGGATGATCTGGCCTCTTATTGTTAAAGACGATTTCCTAACAGCAGTAAGCAATACGCCTTCATTGTTCAAAATTCTGGCAAGAGGTCTTGGCACAGAGGCTGATGGGAACCGAGCCCACCCCTAATTAGACGCCTCTCAACTTAAAAGCGCAAACAACCCCGACTTCCATTTCTGTGCCGCACAAAGGGAATCGGCATCAAACGCAAGAAAAGGAAAGCCCACTGGGAGCGACCATCGTATCTGCTGCTGCTGCTTGTCCTCTTTAACCGCTGCCATCAACCAACTCCAGTCTTTGTTGCACATTATACACGGTACATGCCTTCTCTTTCAGCAGACAAAGAAAACAACCCATTAGTGAGAGCATCTTGAGAAGATCAGCTTTTTGACGGTGAAGAGGAGGGACCAGGCCAAACGGAACTGGAGTTCCAGACCCATGAACATTCCAGGACTGCCCCTGAGGGAAGGTTCACCCTCTCCACTTCCACGCAGTCAGAGCTCTGAAGGAAGGGGCTTCTCAGGCTTCAGGCCACTGGTCATTAGGACACATGCTAAAAAGTCCTGATTATTCTGGGGAAAACTCTGATGCTTCCTAAGGTCACAGGTTAAATAAGGAGTTATTTGTCCGGCCGGTGTGGCTCAATGGTTCATGATCGATCCATGAACCCCCTGCGGAGGTCACGGTTCGATTCCTGGTCAGGGCACAGGCCTGGTTGAGGGCTCAATTGCCAGTAGGAGGCGTGCAGGAGGTGGCTGATTGATAATGATTCTCTCTCATCATTGATGTTTCTATCTCTCTCTCTCTCTCTCTCTCTCTCCCTCTCTGAAGTCAAAAAAATTTATTTTTTTTATTATTTTTATTTTTTTAAAATATATTTTTTTGATTTTCTTACAGAGAGGAAGGGAGAGAGATAGAGAGCCAGAAACATCAATGAGAGAGAAACATCGATCAGCTGCTTCCTGCACATCCCCCCACTGGGGATGTGCCCGCAACCCAGGCACATGCCCTTGACCGGAATCGAACCTGGGACCCCTCAGTCCGCAGGCTGAAGCTCTATCCACTGAGCCAAACCGGTTTCGGCAAAAAAATTTATTTTTTTAAAGCAGGTTTAGTTTATTTAAGGACAGAAAGGTGCAACTTATTCCTATTATTTCAAACCTAACCACCAAGCAAACTAAAGCAATACAAACAACACAAGCCACTTAAATATGAGCAACTGAGAAATACGTGCTCCACAGTCCTTTCTGCTCCGTCTTGTGAACCACCTGTGGGGCGTGGGAGACGCTGCCCGGTCTGGACGGACAAAGTTCAGATACAGAAAGGCCCGTAAGAAGTTCTCGGTAGCTGGTGTAATAACCACAGGGCTGAGGTACCGAACAAGAGGAAAGCCACAAAAAAGAGCCAAATCATCCTAGCCGAAGGCCTCCTGTCACAGCAGTTTTCATAAGAACACGTAGACAAGAATCAAACAGATGCCAGCGAGATGAAGGAGATGGCCTGAAATATGCAGAAACATTTTTTTTTCTGGCTTATTGTGGCTAAGGATCATCAAGTTCAGATATCTAAGACTTCAATCTGTATTCTTACATTGGTATTGTTATTTTGTTGTTGATCCTTACCTAAGGGTATTTTTTCCATTGATTTTTAGAGAGAGTGGAAGGGAAGGGGAGAGACAGATAGAGAGAAATATTGATGTGAGAGAGACACATTGACTGGTTGCCTCCCACACGCACCCCAACCAGGGCCGGGGACTGAACCTGCAACCAAGGTACGAGCCCTTGACTGGAATCGAACCTGAGCCCCTTCAGTCAGTAGCTGATGCACTAACCACTGAGCAAAACCGGCCATGGCTTATATTGGTATTTTTAAGAGACAATAAATAACATTCACTTAAGTAGAAGAAAAACAAAATGAAAATGCTCCTTCTCTGATCAATAATTGACTCTATTAGGCTCTTCTTTCAAATCTTCCTTTTACCTAAACAATGAACTTCTTTAATCAATTATATGTATTTTACTCTACATGTTAGAAAACGCCTGTGTAGAGACCTGTCTTTCTAACCCAAAGTGAAACCCAACCATCACACATGTCCTAAACTCTTATGTTTCCTACTTAGATTGCAGCTGGTCTACTTGTTTATTTTTTTAATCAAGAGCAACAGCCTACCACAAAAGTACTCAGAAGCTGCTAACACAACAGAAAATGAATCAACAATCATCTCAATATCATTTTACATCTGTTTAAAGCAAACAGAAACAGAACCGCTGGCCAAATCCAAAAACCCAAACATAACAGATTCCTCTGCCGGACTCCACCAAGCACTCCAACCACGTCACTGTGGCCGCCGGAGAGCGCGCTGGCTGCTCAAAGGCTCGACACAACTGGAGAAACGAGACTCTCCCTTCTTCCCCGTCAGGGTGACCTGACCCTAAATCTCGAGCTGAATTTTGATTTAGGATCAAAAACTAAATCAAAATTAAAAAAACAACAACACACAAAACTGCAACAATGAAACACGAACAGAAATGCCAGGTTTCTCCTAAATTAAATCACTCTGGGGCCCTGACAAGGGGCTTTGGTCTGTGCTTCCGCTGCTGCCCCCGCCCCAGAGTCGGCCCCGGAAGGCCTATGCGGGAGGCTCTGCCCCCGGCTGTTCCTGTGTCTGTGACCGTGACCATTTCCACCGAAGTCCACATACGGGACTCAGCTTCTGATTCCAGTGGAGTCAAGAGAGGTTGACTTGCTTGGGAACATTCTATCCACTTGAACCTATTAGTATTTGCATGCAAGAGGGTACCTTTATTTAAAATATATTCTTATTGATTTCAGAGAGGAAGGGAGAAGTAGAGAGAGAAACATCAAGGAAGAGAGAGAATCATGGATCGGCTGCCTCCTGCACGCCCCCCACTGAGGATCGAGCCCACAACCTGGGCATGTGCCCGGACGAGAAATCGAACCCTGAAAGTGACTCAAGACATTTGGAAGAAGGTGCAAATCAATACCGGCCATCACAACACCATCGTGATGCGCTATGTGGCCGAGCTTCTAAACCACAAGTCAGTACTGGCTGAGCCGCTGCTTGAAGTCTGAGGCTCAGGGTCCGAAAAGAGAGTTCTGCTAAAGCAAAGGAACTCAGGGCGCAAGGGAGGCGAGTGACCGACTAGAAGCTCCAGCTCCTGAGACGCCTGGGAAGATCCTGAACACGAGGGGATGGAGCGAAGGGGAAAAGACTGAGTCCGAGAGTTACTCAGATTTTCCACTTCCTGCCCAGATAAGAGATGGCGCTTCCGACACACACTGCTCCCTGCAGGCTGTTCCTCAGGAAGCTGGGAGAACCCGCCAGGACTTTATCACTTTTGTTCTTTGGGAACATGACTACTCAGTGCACCTTTCCTCTCAAGCCTCGATTCTCCCCTCATCTTTTTGTAAGGGACAGGCTGAGCACACTGTCATACATAAACCTTACTGCCACCACCAACTACCCCTGGAAATGAGCGCTAAGCTACAGTGAGGCCAGGAGTGCCTCAGTTGGGGGGGGGGGGGGTATGCAAATTTAAAATGTATTTTTGAACCTTAGGTGCACACCGGCCCTACCAAACTGTTCCTTTCTGCTGTCTGGTTCTTTTCATTTCATACTGCCAATCAAGAAATCTGGTCTCGCCCGGCCAGTGTTGCTCAGTGGTTGAGCGTCGACCCATGAACCAAGAGGTCACCAGTCTGATTCCTGGTCAGGGCACATGTCCAGGTTGTGGGCTTGAACCCCAGTTGGGGGCGGGGGCGGGGGGGCGGCGTGCAGGAAGCAGCCGACTGATGTTTCTCATCAATGTTTCTATCTCTCTTTCACTTTCTCTTCCTCTCTCTCTAAAAAAAATCAATTAAAATAATTTTTTTTTAAATAAATTGCACAGTAAGACAAATAGGGCTGCGGACAACATTTGGGGTATAATATATCCACAGAAGTAATTTTACAAGAATGTGAGGGATACAGCCAGCCTTAAAAAGTCACAATCTCTGTAGCACAGATAAGCTAAGCTGTGGGCTGTGTGTTAGCTGTTCTGTTCAGGAAAAAAGAGATGGGAATTATTACTGCAGTAACTTTGAATCTGCTCAAATGAACTTTACGAAAGTTCCAATTTCAATAAGGCAACTATTTTTAGTAACAAATCACTTGGGGCACGCCACACAAATGACCCCAAACAAGAGAATGTCATGACGTCACAGCCTGAGAAGTGCTTCTGGGAGTCTGGATTAGTCACTCTTTAGTCTGAACTGTTTACAGGGATGACATGATGCTGATCGCCCCAGCCCTCCGGGTGACAGGCTGGGCTCGGGGCAGCGGGGTCTCCAGAGCGGTCCCCTCTGACCACAGCAGCCTCCTGGATTTACCTGGGTGTGTGTTACCGACACCACTACTTTCCGTCTGTGCAACATTTTTAGACGCAGTGCCTTGGAGCAGGGTTCCGCGAATGACTGCATGTGGGTGAAAGCTGGCCCATGACCTACTTTCATGTGTCCGTGAGCTACCAAGGGTTTTCACATTTTTAAATGGTTGAAAAAATAAAAAAGATGAGTATGTCCTGACGTATGAAAATTACATAAAATTCAACTGCACTGTCCATAAATGAAGTTTACTGGAACCCAGTCATGCTCATTGGTTTAGGCATTGTCCATGGCTGATTTTGCATTAAAACCACACAGTGCAGTAGGGGTTGCCAGCAAGTCTAAGTTATTTGCTATCTGGTCCTTGACAGAAGCAGTCAGCCAATCTCCATCTCAGAGCAGCATCTTATTAAAAGCAGAAACCACCCGGCTAGAGTTGCTCAGTGGTTGTGTCGACCTATGAACCAGGAGGTCATGGTTTGATTCCTGGTCAGGGCACATGCCCGGGTTGTGGGCTCAATCCCCAGTAGGGGGCGTGCAGGACGCAGCCGATCAATGATTCTCATCATTGATGTTTCTATCTCTCTCTCCCTCTCCCTTCCTCTCTGAAACCAATAAAAATATACTAAAAAAAAAGAAAAGAAAAGAAAAGAAAAGCAGGAACCAGCTCAGGGAACAGACTGGGGTTCCAGGTGGTTTTCAGCAGGGACGACAGGTCACAGGGAGCACCCCCACACAGAGGCAGTCTCCCTTGGCCGTCTGCACACCGTGATGCTGGCAGGCTGCTGATGCACACAGCAGGCACCAGAAGGAAAGGGAGCACGCTGACCTGACCGGGGACGACTGGTGGCTTCTGGCTGGTGCCTGTGAGGCTGTGCTGGGGCTTGGGGACAACAGGACAGAAAGTCTGAAACTGGAGCTCTCTGAAAAGACAGACAGGCTCCATGTTCTACACCCAGAACGTACTTCTTCATGGTGTTTAAAGAAGGGTATACAAAGGGCTACTTCTCCATACAGAGGAGGAAGAGATAGGGGAAGGGTGGCCAGGAAACGAGAAAGGAGGTCCGTGAGCGAGGACAGGAGGAAGCGCGTCTCGTACTTGCACAAGTGTAGGCGTCCTTGCTGGTGAAGGCCTTCGCACACTGGCTGCAGCTGATGGGCCCCACGACGGGAATGGCACTGAACGCGTGGCCGTTGAGGAGCTTTCTGTCCTTCTCCTTCTCTTTAGAATCCTTCTCCTTCTCCTTGATTTTATCTTTCTCTTTCTCCTTTTCCTGCCGAAGAAAAGAATCAATGGTTCACTGAACACTGGAAGGCCTTCTCTTCCCCTGAGCCACCAGGATGGCACGTGGTCAGCAGTGGTGGGCGAATGCTTGGAACAAAAGTCAGACACACTGTCCTAGACAACTTATGTTTTACTTTATTTTTACATTTTGTTAATCCTCACCTGAGGATATTTTCCCCATGGCTTCTTCAGAAAGAATAGATGGGAGGGAGGGAGGGAGGGAGGGAGGGAGGGAGGGAGGGAGGGAGGAACATCAATTGTGAGAGAGACACATGGATTGGCCACCTCCCACACGCGCCCCGACTGGGGGCAGGGAGCTAAACTGCAACCAGGTATCTGCCAGAAACCCAGGTATGGGCCTTGACCGGGAACCGAACCTGTGACCCTTTGGTGTGCAGGCTCATGCTCTAACCAATGACTGAAACTGGCCAGGGCAACCATTTTTAAAAAAATTAACTTGTAAAATAACACAGGAAGTCTGGTCAGGCTAAGCAGCTCTGTCGCTGGCTCACTTGGTGCTTGTTTGCACCGACAAACACCATGCCCAAGGCTCAGCACCGGAAAGAGGCCTCCAGTGCTAGGGAAGGTGCTAGGCGCCTGGAGTGGCCCAGAACCCTCCTCAGGACACCAAGGCACAGCAGCGAGCAATGCGGGGCAGAGGACGGCGGGAATTCGGGAGCAGCCTGAGGGAGAGGACGGTGATGGAGGGGCGCAAACATTACCGAGGTGCCTCTCCGACTTCCTACACCGATCACAACCCCAAGTGAGGCCACGTCTCTGAGCTGTCTCCCTCACTCCAGCCAGAAGTATCACACCCACGTCTACACGTTCAGTTTTTACTCACTGGCATTCCACGGTTCACAGGTGCTCCCGTTGGCCCAATTTTCAAACTGGGGGAGGAGGAACTTAACGTGGACAACGTAAAGGCATTTAGGAGCACGGTCAGCGCATTCAGCTGGCTCATCAATAGCAACGGAGAAGGTTCCTTTCAAACCCGCTGGACCGTGAACTACAAGCCGTGTCACAGTAGGAAGAACGCACTTCGTGGTTCTCACAATCACTACCTGTGGGGCACCCATTTTCCAGGGAATACAATTCTGTTGCTGCAATCTAAAAAAACTCCTGAGCCGAAACCGGTTTGGCTCAGTGGATAGAGCATCGGCCTGCGGACTGAAAGGTCCCAGGTTCGATTCCGGTCAAGGGCATGTACCTGGGTTGCAGGCACATCCCCAGTAGGAGATGTGCAGGAGGCAGCTGATCGATGTTTCTCTCTCATCGATGTTTCTAACTCTCTATCTCTCTCCCTTCCTCTCTGTAAAAAATCAATAAAATATATTTAAAAAAAAAACAAAAAAAAACTCCTGGGAAATGAGCAACCAAAGCCAGTGATAATGACCACTACCGAATGCCTCACCTTCTGAATCAACGCCTTCCACACACGCTATCTCATCTGATTCAGCAACTCTGAAGTAGGCAGGGTGGGCACTGTGCTTCCCATTTTACTACTGAGAAGATCAAGATCAAGAACAGCTACATTTCTGAATAGCTCCCATGTGCTATGCACTGTCAAAAGCAATTTACATGCATTTTCTCACAACCACCCACGGAGTCAGTAAGGACTAGTTACCAGCTGAGAGATGGTGAATGCCGCATTTGAGGCCACACACTAGTAATGCCCAGCTGGGATCACGATGCAGACCAGGCCGACCCTACAGCTCGGCTCCCTTCACGTCATTCCCCTGCCAGGAGCTGGAGAGGTTTGTTGACGCACAAAAGGTCACACAGCAAACGATCGGCAGAACCCAGGCCTCCCGGCCTCCTACTCAGAAACGAAATGATGACTGTCTGCTAAGTCTACGGTGCAGGCAAAGTCCTTTTTAGCAGAACACACAATAAAAACCTAAGCACTGAATTGCTACACTTTAAACTATAAAAAATAACAAGAGAGGAAGGGAGAGAAACTACTGTACTTCACTTTACAAAACAGGAAACTGTTATGAGGGGAAATTAGTAACCGCTAAAGTACATAAAGCTCTAATAAAAGTCAATAGCAAAAATTAAGTTTATCAAGTAATTTCTTTCTTTGAACTTAATTTTGTTGAAGGCTTTTCCATATACACACACACACACACACACACACACACACACACACACACAATGTTCATCTGAAAAGCACCTGACTTTATGCTCCAGAAAGCTATGCATGCTCCAAGAGTAAAACAAATCTATGGCAACTTATTCCCTCAAACCTTGCAATGACTTTCAAGTCTGAATATATAACAAATAACATCCTCATCCTTACAACAACCCATAGCCGTCCTTCCAAGGATAAAACAAAACAAAACAAAACAATACACTCCATTGTCTCTGTGTTTATTAAAGTCAGTGCTTCAGAGAAGCCAGGCTCTTACCTCCCCATGTTTTGATCCTATGAACCTCACTGTTATCTGGGGCACTTCATAAAACCGACCCCATTTTACCGACATGACTGACCCCCATGCCAGGAAAGATGCTCTCACAGAAGGAGGGGCTCATGCCAGCAGGGTCGAGCCCAGCAGCTTCGCGCTGCCATTAGAGAAACCTTCAGAGGAAGCCAAGACTGGTTGAGAAAGGGAGGGTGGGAGGGAGGGAGGGAGGGAGGAGGGAGGGTGAGGCAGTGGCTTCCTTAACACAAGCTTAACTATTTGAATGCTGCCCGTAAGCCAACTACCCTAGTGATGAAGGACACAGGAAATGAAACAAAACTAATTCCCCAAAATGCAGTGTGTGTGGATGGTGCTGAAGCTGCAGGACGGGAACTCTGACAAGGATTGAGCCAACGTTTTAACACTAGAAGCTAAGCATGCCTTGCCCTGGCCAGTGGTTACAGCATCAGCCGTGGCCTGAAGGGTCCTGGGTTTGATTTCGGTCAAGGGCACCTATCTTGAGAGCTTGTTTGGAGGTTCTAGCAGGGGAGCGCAGCTACTCGTATACCCTTGACCGAAGACCGGTCCTCTCCTCGGGGGGGAAGGTCGTCCTCTTCGACCGAGCGCGCAGCTTCGGGAGGGACGCACATGGATTGGTGAGGGAGGGGGACACCCGCCTAGCCAGCCAGATCAGCAGAATCAACCCTGGCGATCAATGGGGTGACAGATGTCGCAGCCAGATTTGATTTCGGTCAAGGGCATGTATCTTGGTTGCAGAGTAGATCCTGGCCCTGGTCGGGGAGTGTGGGGAAGGCAACCAATGGATGTGTCTCTCTCACATCAATGTTTCTCTCTCTCTGTCTCCCCGTCTCCCTTCCACTCTCTCTAAAAATCAATGGAAAAATATCCTCAGGGAAGGATTAACAACAACAAAATGAGAAACAAATGCCTCATTGTATAAAAAGCATTAGACAAACAATTGAATTTTTTTAAAAAATCAGAGAACGCTCTGGACAACTGTGAAACAGGCTGGGATTACGCAACCTGTCACGTTGCAGATCTCAAAGAAGGTGTCGGCAAGATTAGGAATCTGTGTGAAACACTGCTGGCCATGTCCTGGTTGTCTGCAGAGGACAGCTGTGCGACAGGCAGGTTTGAAGAGGGCCACCCCCTCTCCTGTGAAGGGGAACATGATGCTGGTCTGCACACTGGTGTCTGAATGCTCTGTAGCAAGCAACTCACTTAGCAGGAAACAGTCCTCTCTGTCAAAGGTACTAGGAGACAAAAGCAGAAACTGCCAGCCTTCCTGTTGTGCTTCCTGTTTAGGCTCCCCGCCTTTCAAAAACACGACCAATACATTTATCTATACCTCATGCCACCTACTGATAGTTCTTAAAGGGACATGTGAAGATCAGTCTCAATTTCTCAAATCCTACGTGTATGTAGCTACGGGCAAACTGTATTATCCAGAAGAGGAACCGTCAGCCACTCAGTGGCTGGCTTTGGGCTCCTCTGAATATTATATAACAACTGTTTATTACCATATATTTAAAATTAACATAACAAATTAACATAACGGCGGTAATATATTTTGGTTAATAACTTCAAATTACTTTATATGTCTATATATGATCCTTAATTATAAGGAAAGTAGAAATTTCCAAACCATTTCCAGAGACTTTATGAAGAATTAGAGGTGGTGATTTAATATAATCCTCAGAAAATGCTAAAATTTTCCCTTTAAAAGTAGGAATGCCTATATTGTACATCAATGCAAACAGATGAGATGAGCTCTAATAATATCTCTTTAAAAAATAATTTAAAAGTAAAAATGTGTCATTTTCATAAAAATAGCATTTCTAGTGTTTTAGCATTATGGAAAAGTCACATTATTCAATAACTACGAAAAGCAGTAGAGTTAGTGTCATCACACTAAGAAATTATTCACTTATTTTTGTGTTATCATTTAGAGCAGCAATGTTCAACCTTTTCCATCGCATGGCAAACAAACTAATCACTAAAATTCTGTGGCACTCCACTCACGCTGGATGCCTATTGTTGTGTTGGCTGTTGTGACATTTTTAATTGACAATCTAAGGGAAAAGAGGTCAGAGCCCCTGCCTAAATACTCAGGAATTGCTCAGGAATTGCTTGTTTTAAACACTGTCACACACTGGTTTAGGGAATAAATACTTCTGCATAATAACGCTCTACTGTTAGTGCAATGACATATAAAAACAGGGTATTAATGTAACTTAAAAATGTTACTCTGGCCTGTGTGGCTCAGTGGCTGAGTATTGACCTATGAACCAGGAGATCATGGTTCAATTCCTGCTCAGAGCACATGCACGGATTGTGGGCTGAGGATCCCCAATAGGGGCCAGGCAGGAGGCAGCCGATCAATGATTCTCATCATTGATGTTTCTACCTCTCTCCAAATCCCTTCCTCTCTGAAATCAATAAAAAATATATTTTAAAGTTGTATTGCTTCAGTATTTCTTACTATCGGTTGGTACATTGACAAAAGCTAAAATGTTCTACTGGAGGTTCTAAAACAATCCTATTTAAAGTTAGCTAGTAACAATTACGAAAGGTGACTCTTAAACCTCTTCATATATTTGGCCACCGGGAGTACTCTAAACATCTGAGACTATGAAATAGATTGCAATCAAGGTTACAGACTTGCAATTTTTCGAGGTTTCCATGGCTAGAGATACACTAGCCCCCAGAGATCGAATCTTGAAGCTGAGAGAGAAAGAGGAACCATCTCATTGCAAAAGAGTGTTGTCATTTTGACAAGAGGTCAGCAGATACGATTTCTGCCAGTGATGACAGACTTCCCTCTCACACCAATTACCTCCTTTCCTCCTGCCCTTCTCTTCATCCTCCCACCAGTAAACTCTAGTCCTCTGAGATTATTAAAAGAGTTAAAAAAAAAAAAAAAGCCACTGTTCAGTGACAGATTTTGTTTAAGGGTGAGCCTGAAACCTAGAGTACTACTTGCTGGAAGTTGACCACACGAGGTTCTGCCTTAGTATCATCTAGTTCTTTGTGCTTCATTCTGTGAAATAAGGAGGCTGGGATTTTTTTTAAAGGTCAGGTTCCAGTTTCTTATTTCAGTCTTTAAAAAAAAAAGTATTTTTATTGATTTCAGCGAGGAAGGGAGAAGGCAAGAGAGGTAGAAACATTGAAGATGAGAGAGAATCATTGATTGCTGCCTCTCGCACCCCCCTCACCGGGGATGGAACCCACAACCCGGGCATGTGCTCTGACCGGAAATAGAACTGGTGACCCCCTGGTTCATGGGTCAAGGCTCAACCACAGACCCATGCTGGCTGGACCAATGGCACTTACTTTGCTCTTCTTACTGCTGGACATTTTATTCTTGATGTAGCTGAAAGTGCGGCTGACTTTTGTCCCACTCTTCGCTTCAAAGTCTTTCTTGGAGGGGCTCTGCGGTAGGAAACTGTAGTTCTCTTCTGTTATACTAGATAAAAACAAAAAGACTGATTTTGAAAAAAAACAAAAACTACAGAAGTTATTTTTTTTTAAATTAAAACAGCTTCTCCATCCTTCTTCATGAGCATTCTGGTCAGGTGTTCGTGTAGCCACGGGTCAGTTGCCTTATATGCTCACATGGAAATGGGAGGCAGAGTGAGAGGCGGACGGGGGCTGCTGAGCATTTGATACAATAAGGTCGGAGAGCAGCCTCCACAATGCCCATGTTCTGTTGCCAAAGGCACTGTATCATCTCACATTATCACAAGAAGGGGGAGTCCAGGACAGTAAGAGACTTTGAGAAAGACCACATTCATACAACTTTTATTACAATATACTGTTATAACTATATTATTTTTATTAGTTATTGTTCTCATCTCTTACTGTTCCTAATTTATAAATTAAACTTTATCATTCGTATGTACATATAGAAAAAAATACAGTATACATAGTGTTTGGTACTATCGCTGTTTCAGGCAGCCACTGGGGGATTTTGGAATGTAGCCCCTAAGGACAATGGGGACAGACTACTGTACACACACACACACACCCCAAAATGGTGTTAGATTTATGAAGTAAAAATCCCCATAAGCGAAGAGCACACAAGTTCATCAAGTCCAACAGAAGTGTTTCTCATGTGAATAAATGCAAGCCCTTTGTCATTAGGATAGTGTAAAGAATAAAAGTGGAAAAAGTACTGAAGACATTATTTAAAAAGGATAGTCTTTGTTACAAACCACTTCTAACCACCGTTCCAAATTTCTCTCAAAAAAGTAAGAACCCAATGAACTCAATTAACTTAATTAAATGCCACAACACATTTTGGGTTCTCTGCATTTCCCCTTGGGAAAAGGAGTAACAAATAAATGGACAGTACCTCTCCGTCAGATTAGCGCTGGTGTTGTGGAAAGACCGGGAACCTAGAACACAAAAACGGCAGGGAAATAGTGAGAACCAAAGGCTTGTACCCAAAAGAGAGAGAAAATGTCTAAAATGTTTACAATGACACAGATGAAGCAGAGACAGCATCTGAAAGCCAGCGTGTGGTGCCTTCTCCTCCTAAGGGTTTGGTAGAAAGAAAATGAAACTTGAAACCCTCAAATTAGAACTATGATAGGGAGTGAATTTCCCAGGAAAAATGTTTAATCCAGGATTCAAGTAATAGAACAAATCCCAAATTAAGAATGTTTTTTAATGTTCAAACATACATAAAACATGCTTAATTCTTGTTCTTATCAAATTCAGTTCCTATTGGCCATCATTCATAGATGATGTCACAGCAAGAATACAAAATAGGAAATTAAATGTCATATTCGGTGTGCTGTTTACTTTGCATTCAGACACTTCTATACTAAAAACCTAGCTAACGTGTGTGATATTTTCCTGCGCGTTCCTGGGAATGGGTGAGTGAGCAGGAAGCAGCATCCGAGCTGGCGTAGGAGGCCTTGGCCATGCGTGTCTCTAACTTGGGCTGAGATCTCAGGATTTCGTTTCCTCGTCTGGGGAAGGAGGGGATGACACAGATGTTGAGGTCCTCTCCAGGCTGGTGCTTGGTAAACTGAGTAGTGCAGGTCCATCCTCCTCCTTCCACAACGCCCGGACCAGACACTGAAGGGTCATCAAGACGAAGGCTAAGCCAGGCCGGGGCTCCCCTGCTGCTGCTTCTATCCTAGGCCCTCCCCCCACTTTAATAAACGCCCTCTCAAAACAAAGAAAACAAAAAAACTAAGGCTGCGTCAGACAGCAGGGCAGTAAGTAGAACAAACAGAGGGCACACCATTATTATTAACCCCTAAACTCCCAAACTGTCCTAGATTCGGAACAGAAATGCAAAATTGTAGTTATTACTAAGTACATAGCCAACAGGCGGGAACACTGCATAAGAAACTTAAACTCCGCATCTTCTAATGTCTGCCTTCTAGTTTTCCGTTTACCTCAGGGGTCCTCAAACTACAGCCCACGGGCCACATGCAAATACAATATTGTATTTGTTCCCGTTTTGTTTTTTTTACTTCAAAATAAGGTATGTGCAGTTTGCATAGGAATTTGTTCATAGTTTTTTTTTAAACTATAGTCCGGCCCTCCAGCGGTCTGAGGGACAGTGAACTGGCCCCCTGTTTAAAAAGTTTGAGGACCTCTGGTTTACCTGTTTGGCGATCTTCTATTTCACTTAGGATGCATGTTACCAAGGAACCCATAAGAGTGAGATCTGGGACCTGCCCCTCAGTTCTGCCTGGTCTAGGTGTGAAATCAGCATTTTAACCTTAGGCCTTAATTCACTTACACAAAACAAACGCCCCTCCCCGCAAAGGTTGGCTGACATCAGTGGCCTTAGAACTTTCTCCACCCACAGGAGCCCTGAAGGCTACATGCAGCATTAACTCTCTTGTGCACTTAAGCAACTACCTAGTAAGTCACCACACGAGTCATTTTAACTGAAAAGAAAAGCCATAAAAATACCAGCCAGCACAGAGACTAGCCAGAAATAGGCTCCCAGCAGATTCTGTCAAATAAATTAAAAAACTGTACCAACAGTATGTAACTGAACACTGGGAGACTCTGACTCCTGTAAGGGCTTTCAACCTTCCCAATGCTGAATACTTTTTCACTCATTTACTATGATCTTTTAGAGGTGGTTCTAAAAACAGACATCGATCTCAATGGCTCTGAGTATGAAATAACCAACGTTATTTCCATCAGATAATTAATGACAAAAGCAAAGTGATCTGTATTAAATTAAATTGTTAGTAAGTTTGTGAACACAGCATATTCAACACTGACTGCCTTGGGAAATTCACGGTGTACCTTACAGCATCTGAAACCTGCTGAAACCAGTTTCTTCCATTTATCTGGCCATGAAACAACCCTTCCGTGCCTCCCCGCCCCCAGTGCTCACTGGTGTTTCTGAGTTTAAGGAATACGTTTGGAGGAATGCTGTGTTCTTGACTCAGGTTTCTTCAAGCTCCTACACCTTTATGAGCCCATCATCGCTTTCACCATCACAATTTTCTACTAGTGGCAGAAGAAACCCTACTGGGGCCTGTTTTATCCGCCATGCTGACCTATTTCCCACATTATTATGAATACATTGAGATGAAACAGCCTTGTCAGGTTTTTAAACTGGGTAACGTCAAATAAGAACATATTGATCTGAAACCTACAGTGTAGGAAAAGGACAGGAGGGGGAAAAAGTTCCAAGGAAAGAAAATAGGAGGAAAAGGCAAGAAGAAAAAAGTTCAACATGAGTCTTAGATACCCCGAGTGGACATGTAGATATCTGTCCCGTGAGACAAAATCAGTGAAACAAGGAAAAAAGACAAGTGCGTGATCAAGCGGAAAGTTCTGCGAGGTCAGCACCACAGAAGGTACGAGGTGGGATGGGAACACGTCTGGAGGCATCTGTGTCCTGGGCCGGTATCGCATGCCCCGGAACCAGGCCACTGGATTAGTCAGTGTAGGGCGTGTACAGAGGACAAGATGGTTTTATCCGAATTAATGTCAAAGCAAAGCGTGAAGACAAATGGTTTAGGAAAGGCGGCATGCAGGGGGGAAGCCCCCGTCAGCTTCTTAGGACAGAGCCCAGAGCATTCCCAGGGCTGGTCAGAGCCCGGAGAGCAGCCGCCGGACAGCGAAGTGGCTACTTACTCTGCAGCTCCTCCTCCTCCTCACTGGAATGGGAAGAGCCGAGAGAAAAGAGAGTTTTAGACTTAAGGAGGAGCGGAGAGATGCTGACGGAGAAGGAGATCCGCCGTGCGGGCTGCGGCCGCGGCTGCGCTGGGAAGTGGTTAACGGGAGACGTTAGAACAGGCCCCGGTGACAGCAGGACGAGGGAAGAGGCACCTCCGACCCACGCGGAACAGAATAACGTCACTGGCCTGTATGGCTCCTGTCTAGGTAAGCAATGCGATTTATTCCCATGTGCATCTATTTCTGAATACGCAGAACTCAAACGCAGCTTTAAAAAATCCATAAAACAAGTATGTACTCGTTAGGTTATGAAGACAAGAAGTAAATTGTTTTGAATGGTCGTAACTTATGGCTGGAGTTTCTCTTCCCTTCAAAGAAAAGCATCAGGACTCCGAGCCTGGCTCTCCTGCTCCTCACTCACTCACTCCCACCTCCTGACGACACCGCACACCACGGGTACTGGTGACTCATAGCTTCTGCCTTAGGCCACACCTCTCCTTCATGCCAGAGACGAGTTCTCCTCACTCCCACAGGCACCTACGTAGACTTGTCTTTTCCTCCAGACCTGCTCCTCCGCTCTACCCGCTTCATTTGGTGAGTGGGACCCAAATATAACTCATTCTGGGAAACAGAAAGGTGGGCACCGCCCTTGAATCCTGACCTCACACCTCGGTCCTTTTGATTTGGTCTTCTAGAATTCTCTGAATATCAACTTCTTCCCAATGCCCTGCTCTAGGGCCTGGGTCAGGCCAGCAAACTCCCATCGCAATCATGCAACAGTCTCTCACTGCTCTGCCCGCCTCTCCACCAACACGCTCTTCAGTGTGGTCTCTAAGGAGCGTTTCATTCAATGAACTAATCAATTTAATCAACCTAAGTCACTGCACTGCCCTCAGATAAGAAGCCCAAATCCCTCAGCCCTGCTTCCCACATACTAATTCACTTAGCAAATTCCTACTTTTGTTGTGGTCTGAACTTTGATATTGCTAAACGCGAATTAAAGGGTGTATGTATGTATGTAATATAAAATATATAATATGTACATGCACTTAACTATGCATATATTCCACACTTGTTATTGAACTGAAAGACCAATAGAAAAAACTCTATTTGCCTGACTAAACGTTTGCCTGACATATCTATCCCTGTTATCTTTTCCTAACAGTGTTCTAACAAAGTAAATGCAAAACCATCAATTCTCATCCCACTGCCCACAGTCAGAAAAAGAGAAAGTGAGCAGAGGAAGTAGAGGTAAAAACCCTTATCAGCCCTGACTGGTTTGGCTCAGTGGAAAGAGCATCGGCCTGCGGACTCAAGGGTCCCGGGTTCAATTCCGGCCAAGGGCATGTACCTTGGTTGCGGGCACATACCCAGTAGGGAGTGTGCAGGAGGCAGCTGATCGATGTTTCTAACTCTCTATCCCTCTCCCTTCCTCTCTGTAAAAAATCAATAAAACACATTTTAAAAAAAAAACCCCATCAGCCCTGAGGCCTAACTTTCCGGAGGTGCACCCTGACCTCTAGCCACCTCATTGGCGATCTCGTTAGATCTGGTGCCTATTACGTATGCAAGCGGCACAGTGCAGCTCTGAGGGCTGACTTCACTTTCATAGTCTAATGCAAACTGTTCAATTACAGCCCGTGTTCCCATCAAGGGACATATCAGCACTCAGCCAGCTCCCACACGTGGAGTGAAGAAGGCACACGGATGACGTGAAGGACGAGCACGACCGGTCTGTTCTCTGTGATAACCATGCAAAATGCAGGGGGAATGAAACCCCATCAGAGAAGCCTGTGAAGTGAAAACATCTCGGGGGACACCTCTCCTTTCAACATTCCCGCCACGAATGCGCTCAGTTCTTCCAGGGATGCAACCGATCAAGCAGTTCCTCTACCCTTTGCCGGCATCTGCTGGATGCGAGCAATGAAAAGCTTAAAAACCGGCCTGGCCGGTGTGGTTGGGCGTCAACCTATGAACCAGGAGGTCAAAGTTCGATTCCTGGTCAGGGCACATGCCCAGGTTGCAGGCTCGATCCCCAACCAGTAGGGGGTGTGCAGGAGGCAGGTGATCCAGGATTCTATCTCATCATTGATGTTTCTATCTATCCCTCTCCCTTCCTTTATGAAATCAATAAAAAAATTTTTTTAATTTTTTTTTAAAATATATTTTATTGATTTTTCACAGAGAGGGAGGGAGAGAGATAGAGTTAGAAACATCGATCAGCTGCCTCTTGCACATCCCCCACTGGGGATGTGCCCGCAACCCAGGTACATGCCCTTGACCGGAATCGAACCTGGGACCTCTCAGTCCGCAGGCTGACGCTCTATCCACTGAGCCAAACCGGTTTCGGCATGAAATCAATAAAATTTTTAAAAAACAAATACAGAATTATTCTGTACAGCAAAAATGAAGTTTATTCTTAAGTTCTATCCGGAAACTATGTAAGTCTCCACCCAGTCCTCTCTGATGCAAGCAGGAGAAATGCTACACACATTTCCTGGAGCGGGTTCGCTGAGGGCCACCCTGCTGGCACTTTCCCACACCACACAGGCAGGGTTTCTCTGACCCTCTGGAAGGAGTCGGCAAGTCATCACGTTCATCCATCAACGCGGCAAGTCGAGGACCTGAGTTAGGAAGCTTTCCCACCCAGTGTTGTTCCCAAGTGAGCTGCCGCCCGTCTAGTTTTCCGCCCAGAAAATGAGACAGAAATACTTTAGTCACCACCTTTACTCAGTATTTTCCTCTGCATCACTGGATTTTTGCAACGGATCCCGGCTTAGAAGTAAGGCTGAGTTTGTCTGTTTTTCTAACCTAACAAATGATACATGACATTTCAGATGGCAGCTCCGGGAATGTGCACTTTCAGAAATGTCCAAATGTCCAAGACCAGTAGAAGCAGCCAATTTCTTTGAAGGAAGAAGACAGAGCAAAGGTAAAAGCTGGAAAGTAGTGACAGAGGCTGATTGTAGGAAGTATTTTGCTCCCAGACAAGGGTGTTCATTAGACGAAGCCATTTCAAGAACACGAGGGACAGTGTCCTAGTTTCTTTAACATTGTCAAAACTCTGGTCCGAGAAAGATGGGCCTGGCTGCTAAGAACTTTAAACCTACATTTAAGCCTCATCACATTATATTTGAAAATATATGGGAAAAAATTTTAAGGTCTCACACTGACTATTCATAACACCGAAAAGTGAGTTTCTCAAAGAACAAGCTGCCTTTCTGTGACCAATACCTGGATCCCATGCAAATATGTCTTTGACCATCTTTCCATTACAAACACCCTGTGCAGCATCTCTGCCAACTTTTGGGGACTCTCAGTGAAGAATTCTTTGTACTGTTTTTTCAACTCATTTTAGAGCCTACAATTATTTCAAAAGACAGTTTTAAAAAACGTGTCCGGTTTAGGCCCCCAAATATAATAAATTTATAGTATTCAGGAGATATTTAGGTAGTAAGAGGAGGAAGATCACAAAACTGAAATCTCTCTACCCTTTTCTGTTTAAATCAGTGGTTCTCAACCTTCCTAATGCCGCGACCCTTTCATACAGTTCCTCACATTGTGGTGACCCCCAACCATAAAATTGTTTTCGTTGCTACTTCATAACTGTCATTTTGCTACTGTTATGAATCGTCATGTAAATATCTGATATGCAGGATGTATTTTCATTGTTCTTGACCCACAGGTTGAGAACCGCTGGTTTAAATGATGCAGAGGAAGAGGCAAGCAAATTTTGGAAGGTAATGTTATAGGGAGTAAAAGTAACAAAACAAAAAAAAGACAGAATAAGGGTTAAATATAGTTAATTTTTTTTAAAGGAGCATACTCACTGTCGAACCCAGGGTGGCTGATGGTCATTAAGGAGACGGACTTTGTCAAAGTGGAAGAAACGGCTGACGTGCAGTAGTTGAACCCCTGTTGTTTAGATCTGTGACAGGTCTGCAAACAGAAAGTGGAGAGCGGTTCTAAGTGCTGCTCTCATGTTCCAGATGAGCACAGAACTTCATCTTCCAGCCCGAGCCAGGGAAGGCAGGCAGCACCAGGCAACAGCGCGGGTTCCCAGTGCGGGCTCTGCAGTCAGACCCCACTCGGCAACTGCTCAACTGCACAGAAGTGACTCATCTTTTCTGAGCCTTCCTTTCTTATCTGTAACCTGGGGGTAATCAGAGCATCCATCCCTTACAGTGGCAAGAATACCACAGTAACGTTTCAAACTGAGTGAGGGTTTGGTTTAATTGACACCTGCTGAATGCATAATCAGGTAAAAATATTTCACTAGAAATATCAAACAAGCTGTAGTTCTTATTCTTTGAAAACCTAATTGTCTCTTACAGAAGTACAGTAATAATATTCTGATCTTAAAGAGTTGGAAACAATCTAAAAAAAAAAAGAGTTGGCAACAGCTGGACGCTGTGGCTTAGTGGTTGAGCATTGACCTACGAACCAGGAGGTCACGATCAGATTCCTTGTCAGGGCACATGCCCGCCCAGGTTGCAGGCTCGATCCCCAGTAGGAGGGGCATGGGGGAGGCAGCCGGTCAATGATTCTCTCTCATCACTGATGTTTCTCTCTCTCCCTCTCTGAAATCAATAAAAATGGTTTTTAAAGTATATATCTTTTTAGAAGAGTTGGAAACAGAGATGCAAGAAAAAGAGTTTCAAGATCACAAGCCAAGCAACCCTATATCTGGAAAGAAGCCTAAATCTCCTCACTTCCTCTTCTCAGCTCAGACTGCTTCTCTACGTGAGGGTGACTGAAATGGGATCACTGAACTCCCTCAGCAAACTCATGCGGCTTCAAGGCCATTTGATCCCACCAACTGCAGAGGTTCCTGCAGCAGCAGTTCTGAAACAGCATCAGGCAGTGTCCCCAGCACACTTCTGTTGTTTGGGGAGCCCGTTCTAATGGGTAATAAACCCTTCCTTTCACGGCAGGCTGAAAGCCGCCTCCTTCTGACTTGCGAGTTGAAGGGAAGCAATGAAACCCCGTTACCAGCGTTCACGCCACTGGAGGACACTGAGGACTTCTGATTATTTAGAGCTGTTTCCTGTGTAACCATGGAGTCAGAGGCACCGTTGCTATGTTTCCAATACAACTGTGAGGTCTGAAACATGACCTCAGGGAAAGGCAGAGACTTTTAACAGGAAGTGGCTGCAGACAACTTGTCCACATGAGATACAAGAGCTTGAATACCAGCTCCGAAGTTGCACACAAGATAAAAACTGTAAGTTATAGCAGAGGTGCAGGAAGGCGAGGCGACAGCCCTTGAGGCCTTCAATTTGCTTTTCATTAGGCCTGAATTCCCTCAGGCCTGCACGTGACCACAGGGACACACTGATTACTAAGGTAACCCCCCTGGTGCCAGATTTATTGGGCCACATCACTGCTATGTAGTAGGAAGCAATAAAAATTAAATTTCTATACAAAACCTCAGACGCCTATTCACGGTACAGGCTGTTTAACATTTTTGTTTGCTTGTTTAATTAGAAATGTTTTGGGGGTGGGGGAGGTAGAAGAGGGTATTGGGAGGATAAACAGTGATGGAGGGAGGATTGACTTAGGGTGGTGAACACATATACAATATACAGAAGATGTATTGGAGAATTATACACCTGAAGCCTATATAATTTTATTAATTGTCACCCCAATAAATACAATAAAAAAGAAATGTTTCACTAGGTTTCACCTAAACCTCCATTCGCCTATCCAAAGCCAGGTGTGTAGCTTTTTTGTTTGCTTCGTTAGAAATGTTTTCACTTGGGTGTGTGTCCTGGAAGCCGCTCAGAAATCAATCCAAAGTCTCTGCCCAAGAGGCTGGGAGAGCGCTGGGAGCAGCACAGGTGACAGCAAAGCACATAATTCACATTCTCAACCCCAAACCGCACCCTCCCTGAGGGGTTGTCGGAAGAGGTGCGGATAAGGAAGGGCTTAAGGTGAGCACTTAGAAAAGGTCACTTGATTTGGGAGAAAAGGAAATCATGATCTTCAAGACAAGGATGTTCAAGAGTCACCGTGAAAGACAGGAAGAGCTGATCAGGGCTGAGACTAAGAAGGCAGGCGGGTAGATGGTCTCTCAAGAACGCTGGCAGCGACAGGGAGGAGAGCGAGAACAGTCCTTTCTTAGACAATGTGATGAGATAAGACATTTCTTCCAGGACGGAGCTGCTTGTGATATGCTTTTGAGAACTGGGAGATTCGGTAATGCTATGGAACACCTTCCGAGACTCACTTTACTCCTGGCGTGGTAACAGAAGTTCTTGGAAAAGAAGGAAAATCTCACCTTAATATCCTGGGTAGGCTCCTAATTTTTTAAAAAGTTGCTTTGCCCTAGCCGGTTTGGCTCAGTGGATAGAGCGTCAGCCCTGGGACCAAAGGGGCCTGAGTTCGATTCTGATCAAGGGCATGTGCCTTGGTTGAAGGCAACATCCCTGTCCCTGGGCGCCCTGGTCGGGGCACGTGCAAAAGGCAACCAATTGATGTGTCTCTCTCACACAGATGTTTCTCTCTCTGTCTCTCCCCCTCCCTTCCACACTCTCTAAAAAAATCAATGGGAAAATATCCTCGGGTGAGGATTCATGGGGAAAAAAAAAGATGCTTTGATGGTGTATTTAAATCTATGCAGATTAATGATATTCTTTAATTAGTATTAAGTGCTAAAATCTGGCTTTGAACTAGATTCAGGGTAAGTCATCATAGCTGCTAGCCTCATGTTAACATGGCTATTGCCTTCTTTGTTCCTAATATGAGGACAGAGTTAGGAAAATAAAATGAAGGTTTTCCAAATTAGCAACATGTCCGCGTGTCAGCCTTACCTGATGACCAAACATCCGATGTTCTCTCTGGCCCGATTCCAGATCCTCTTCTGAAAGGGACACCAGAGAGTCACCCCGTTCCTCACCCCCGAACGGGTGCCTGAGCTCTTTGGCGTTTGCCGAGTTTCCTTCCAGAGATGAGGATGGCGTGTTTCCGACCCCAGCGCCTCCTGCCAAGCCTTCTAGGCTGAAACTGAACAGAGCACAGGAGTTCATTCCCCCATTTCCAAGTCTCAGAAAGAAAGGGGGTCCAAAGCCCCTTGAGTGTATCTCTCTCGTATGTTATTTCCATGCCACATGTCAAGGCTGCTACCAGGGCACAGCACAGATGCGCACCGCCTCCCTTTCCCTCACAGGCCATGGGATGCTGAGAGAGAACACTGCACATAGACTTTCTTACCTCATTCAACTGTTCAAATATTAGACCATCTAGGGCAGTGATGGCGAACCTTTTGAGCTCGGCATGTCAGCATTTTGCAAAACCCTAACTTAACTCTGGTGCCGGGTCACATATAGAAATTTTTTGATATTTGCAACCATAGTAAAACAAAGACTTATGTTTTTGATATTTATTTTATATATTTAAATGCCATTTAACAAAGAAAAATCAACCAAAAAAATGAGTTTGCGTGTCACCTCTGACACGCGTGTCACAGGTTCGCCATCACTGATCTAGGGTCATTTTCTCAGATTTTTTTTCAATAGATCATACTGACAGACTATACTGATGTTTTATTTACGTGTTTTCCCTTGATCTTTGCCGAACTCTAACGCTGCTAATGCCAAATAATCGGATGGCACCCAGAATATGAGCGTAAGGAACTGTAGAAGGCACAGAGGAGACTCAGATTTGCCCAGAGTCCACTAAGTAGACCTTCGTAACTGTACATTCAACTCGTCTGGCTGAGCTTCATAGCTTCACAGGTAGGCATCCACCCCCAGGAAACCCAAGTGCCACTTATGAGCGTTCTCATCTGTGAGCGCCTGGTCGCACAAATGCTCCACAGGTCCCTGCCACTGTTAGCTGTAGACAGGCACACAGGGCACCTTAAGGAACAAAAGCTGAAAGCCACTGAGTCTGAGAGTCCTAATTTTTTGTCCTGATATTGACTAGGGATGGGGTGATGAGGGGGATCCCTGCGTTAAAGAAGTTTGTGGTTTGCCAAGTAAGAAGCACTTCCTATGAGCAGGTGGCTGCAGAGAGAGGTCCTTGGGTTTCTAGCCAGAGTGGCTCACATCTGTTACAGCTACAGAGGAAGCTGCTTTCCAATAAGCAGCTGAATTGTATTGGGAGGGAGACTGGAGCTATTTAGTTCTTTCTGCTCAAGCTGTACAGTTAATTGCTACAAATAATTCACAAATGCCAGCCCAGAAAGGCTTACATTTGCTTTTTTGTTTCACAAGTTACTTACTATGAATTGAAACCATATGCCTCTATTTTCTCTAGTGGGTAAATTAAACAATGAGTTTTGTTTCCCTGATTTCAATCTGACAATAGAAATCATGACTAACTCTGAGTACGAGTCATGTCTCTTGTAAAAGCCATTTTTTAATACCAGGAATAAGAAGACGGGCTAATGAAGAAGAAATTTAGTTTTCTATTGTGAGTGACTTGTAAAGCCTGAGAAAACCAGATCTATGCTTCCCACAAAACTCAACCCTGAAAATGTTTTAGAAATTAAATGTGGCTACTCAGTGAAGAGAAGAACATGAACCTCGGAGTCTGAATTTGGGATCTAAAGCGATGGGTGAGACTTGGTGTCAGAAGGGGGAAGGCCTAGGGTCTGGGAATGAGGGAAGACCAAAACACAGAGACGTGGGCGAGCGCACCATGGAGCCAAGTCTGCAGAAAACACCAAATCACAGCCTCTGGACACAAACGGGATGCGCAGGGCACACCAGCCGACTTCTGTGCTGCACCCCTCAACCGGATTAGCGATGCCGAGAGCCAGGCCAGGGGACGGTGCGCGCACAGACAAAGCAGGCCGCATGTGCGATCCAGCCAGGGAAGCCAGTCCAAGCCAAAGCCCACGCGCCACACTCTGTCCCCCGTGACGCTGCACACGGAACGATACCATACCTTCGGTAATTAAAGTCGGCACTCAGGGCAGCAGAGCACTGCACACCAGAGGGACACCAGCTCATACTGGGGATGACATCAGAGACAGAGATGGAAACGGAGGGAGAAAAGAGGACACAGGGACGGGGTGATGGGTTTAAAAAGAAAGGGCAGTTAGAGACAGATGGATTTATCTGAACGTCAAAAAATTAGAAGTGCAACATTGTTTTAGAAAAAGGCTAGAACAAAACCCACGGAATCTAAACACTGTTCTATTGATGTCCCTCTACATGATGTCTTGGGAGTGACTACGTGACTGGACTGCTTTACAGGATGACAAATCCAACCTGAAACTCGATTACTTCTGGGGAAGCCTCAACACACAGCTCACCCTACTGGCCTCCTGCCATGGAGGGGTTACAGCCTCCATTACTGCGGACAGTCTCTCGGATACCCCCGCACTCCCTCACCGCGGCATCTCCAGGCCTTGAGTAAAAGGAACGGTGACAGACTACACTGTGGTGGCAGCTCACTGAGTCATCAGTTTTTTTCATGTGTTTCCAGTAAGGATCCATTTAAACCAGACAATTCATAAATCTTGCATAATAAGGACACCCAGTCAAGACTCACATCCATCTTCAAACCCTACTCTAGGGGGCTCTTTATGCTAAAGATGAAGCATGTAACAATGGTCACATTTCCTTGCATTTTAATGATAATAAAGGGATTCTTTTTTTAAAATATATTTTTATTGATTTTAAAGACGAAGGGAGAGGGAGGGAGAGATAGAAACATCGATGATGAGAGAGAATCATTGATCGGCTGCCTCATGCACATCCCACACTAGGGACCAAGCCTGCAAGCCGGGCATGTGCCTTGACTGGGAATCAAAACGGTGCCCTCTTGGTTCCTGGGTTATGCTCAACTGCTGAGCCATACCCAGCTGGGCATGACGGTATTCTTTTAAAGGGGTTATATCATACTCAGGAATTTGTCTTCTGAATTTTCATACAAAAATTTAAAAATCCATTTGTTCATCTACTTCCTTGATTATCTCAGCACTGATGTTTATTCTCAAGCAGCAGGGACAGAAAATCTGGGGCTGAAAAGGCTAAATATAACCAGCTAGAAAATAATCAATTCAAAATATCAGTTACTCTGTAAAGGGAACCGCATCAACAGGTCAGGATCTTTTATTAACAAAAGCTGTCATTTAAAAATAAACTGCTATCGCCCTGCTGGAGTGGCTCAGTGGCTGAGCGTGGACCCATGAACCAGGAGGTCACGGAGCGATTCCTGGTCAGGGCACATGCCCGGGCTGCGGGCTCCATCCCCAGTAGGGGGTGTGCAGGAGGCACTGCTGATCAGTGATTCTCATCTTTGAGGTTTCTATCTCTCTCCCTTTCCTCTCTGAAATCAATTAAAAAATATTAAATAAAAATAAACTGCTATAATTTGGGCTTAAAGTTCTCTGTGGCATGCCTTTGTTTTCACAAGACGGACAGCAGTAAAACTACTCAGCTCCCTCCTGAACCTTGGAAATGGGAAGACCCACAGACACCAAAGCCCCTCACATCTTGATAGAGCAGATCCTTCTCAGTGGTTTTGTTTTTTACGGTTTCAGTGACCAGGGTCTAAAAATATTAAATGGAAAATTCCAGAAATAAACAAATAATGAGCTTTAAAGCAGGGTGACGAAATGTCTCCCCGTCCCACTCTGCCCACCCGGAGCTGCATCATCCCTTGTGCAGCTTCCCCACTGTTCTCGTTCCCCGCTGCTTAGTCAACTCCTCAACAGCCGCCTCGGTATCAGCCTGACTGTCTAGGTATCTCAGCGCTGTGTCCAAGTTACCCCGACTTACTAATAACAGCCTCAAAGCCAGTCACATCACTTCTATGACACGACATTGCTATAACTGTTCTATGTTATTATTAGTTGTTGTTCATCTCTTACTAAAGTTATAAATTGAACTTTATCATAGGTACATATAGAAAAAACAGCATATGTATAGGGCTCGGTACTATCCACTGGGGGTCTTGGTGCATATCCCCGGTGGATAAAGGGAGCACCTACTAACTTTCTTTGGTTGACAAATGGGGGTTTTTGAGAGAGGAGAGGAGGAAAATATAAGAGCTACCCCCCTATGGCCCTTTTAAAGTAAAAATCTTTAATATTACTATAATTTTTAAATACTTTCCATTGTAAAACACTCTAAATCAGATTATATTAACAGTATAAACGTCGAGGTGCGGAAGCGGAAAGTAGACATACGCAGCTGAGGCACAGCTCTACCTGGAGAGCAAGATCAGACTGATTGATAACTCACTGGTGTGAGGAGAAGGGAGCCTCCATGCTCCCTTCAAGCAAACATGAGACTCAGATTCTTTACAATTGTTAACTTAACTGTAAATCTCCAAACTGTTAATAAAGAGGCATCTTACATCTAAATATCCAACTTATTAATAACACAATGTGGTTAACCAGTAACTGAGCATACATTACCAAATTGTCAATTACATGTATAATTTTATTGTATAGAAATAATCTTCTACAGACTTAAAATTCCCTTTCCTCTCAGAAATGGTACGTGAGAGACTGGGATGAAATGTAAGATGAAGAGGACGGAGAGCCACAGGCAGACAGACAGCAGGACATGCTTTCCCAAGAGCCCAGAAGCTGCAGATGGTCCTTCGGCAGCAGGAACACAGCCCCTCCCGCAGCAGCAAACACCTTCCACAAAGAAGGGTATTTCTGAGAGCATCTAATGTCCCCGATTCCTCAGGGGGGGGGTGGGGGGGTGGGGGTGTGTGTGTTACATTTACTGCTTCTTGGGCTTTGTTTTCAAATTAGAAAGTCCTAGATTAAAAATAATCCCTATTCTTCTCCCCCATCTTCTTTTAAAATATATTTTTTATTGTTGATATTATAGATATCTCTTTTAATACTTGTTGGAATGTTTCAATTTTACTAGTTAAGGCTAAATACAAAACTTACAAGTATGCCTCGGCCTCTTCCTACAGAATATGACGAGGGGGAAGCTGTCACCGAGTGGCCGGGATGGTGGAACTATTTGCTAACTTGGACGGCACCCAGCTACTTGCCATCTTCCAGGGTCTTCAAGTGCATGGTTTCAATGAGTTCCGATTAAAGAGCTCCCATGGGGAGCCTGACATGACTTATGACCCGTTCCTCTGAAGAAAACCTTCACCAGAGTCATGGTTATCTGAGATTCATGAGAATATTTGTATTTGAGCTCAATTTTGCACTTAACTCTGGAGTTAAAGGGAGCAGCCACTTGAAAGACACAGTGGGAAAGAGCACTATTCGCCTGCTTCCCCACAAACACCGTCAGCTAATGTTAACAATCCCTCTTTCTGCCCGGCTGGCGGGGCGCAGTGGTTGAGTGTTGACCCATGAACCAGGAAAAGTCACGGAGCGATTCCCAATCGGGGCATATGCCTGGGTTGCGCGCTCAATTCCCAATCGGGGGCATGTAGGAAGCAGCCAATCAATGATTCTCTCTCATCATTAATGTTTCTATCTCTCTCCCTTCCTCTCTGAAATAAATAAAAATTTTAAAAAAATGTGTTGAAAATATTCTAGGGCCTTAATTTAATTATTTTAAACTTTGTATTAAGCAGGTATTTCTGGTCCCGTTCCCCTCCCCCCCCCCCCCTTTTTGGAAAGAAAGAAAAACTCCTCCCTCGGATCCATTAGAGAGGCACCGCGTCAACATGTCTTCAAACTGTTCTGGAGAAAGTTGGGGAGACCCTGTTACCAAAACTTTAGATTCAAGAAACTATTTCATAGGGAATGGGCAACAGCAATCAAGTTCCTGTATCTTATTTGCCTGAAGCAGATGTGACACTATTGGAAAACAGCTGCTGAATCTTGGAATAAGCAGAATAACGAGAGGCTGGTTAGTAAATGCTGAGGCAACATGGTTAGTCCAATGAGTGAGTGAACTCTGTACCTTCTCCTATGAATGGGAGGTCTCCTGACAACATCGCCAAGAACGCGCATTGAACTGGAAATGAATGGTGGGAGAGGTCAGTGTGAGGTGGAACAAAATGGACACAGACACATGGAACACAGACATCACACCAGGAGAGATACAACCCCAGAGAGAAACAGCAGGGAGTCGGGGATGAAGGGATGTGGAATGAGAAAAATATCAGACTCCCAGGGGCCGGGCCACTTCTGTGGAGGCCTAGCTTGGCTCCCTCCTTGCTCCCTGGAGTTAATCAGATGACAGGGAATGAGGTTTACTCCATTATAAAAGTAAAAGGATCGGGACGAACAAAGGCCATTCAAAACTTAGAAAGGGTTTTCTTAACACTTAAAATTTCAGGCTTCACTGTATGCAGGAATACTATGAGCATTAGTCAAAACTAATTAAAGTGATACCCCATCCCATTATCTCCAGAGGTCCTGGGACAGTGATGCTGGGTAGTCCTTAATGCGAAGCTCAAATAGGAGATTCTCATTAAAGGCTGAAAATACAAATAATTTAGGTGATAGGGTTCTTCTCTTAGTTCAACCAAAGGATCACTATGTAATCCTGGGCAAATCATTGAATCTGAGCGTCAATTTCCTCACCGGAGCTAAATGATCCATACAGTCCCATCCAGCTCTGAAACCAAGGCCATGGCAAAGGGATCCACAGGGGTTATAAAGAAAAATGATTTCTATATAAAGCAAACACTCACTTCTTGACACTTGTCATCTAAGACAAGGACATCTGGCTGTAAGAATCTTTCCCTACACCCTTAAGTTTTCTATGGGTGTAAATGCTTTAAAGAAAAGAAAAAAGGTACAGCATGAATACAGCTGAAAAGAAAAGCTCTTAGAAATTGCTTTTTATGTAATTTAGGTACTCAATCTCTCACCAACGATAACCCCAAAGCAGAAACTCCTCAAAAACAAGCACACAGAGAGACTCCCCAGCAGCCGGCACCTCACCTCCGGTGGCTCATTTCTCCATCGCTGGCCGCATTCTTGCCAGGACCCCAGCTGTGCCTCCGGAAAGGGGACAGAGAGCGCAGGGAGCTCCTCAGCACAGAGCAGTTGGCAGGCACTTCGGTGATGCTGTCCATCTCCTCCTCCTCCATCTCACCTGAGCCGGCAGGCTCGCTCTCACTCTCTCGCCCCTCCGCGCCCACCCCGGGGCTGCAGAAGCCGTCGAGGGACTGCTGCTCTCTGGACCGGTGCAGAGCTGGCATCTGGGGGAGGGACACATCGCTGCCATGCGAAGAGTGTCGGTCCAGGGAGGCGGTGTCGTCGGTGGAGGAACTGGATCCGGTGATGTCACAGACCGACTGCTCTTCCTCGGGCTGGAACGGGGAGGAAGCGAATGCGGTTGAAGAGCAGAACCAAGAAGACGGCCTGTTATCCCTATCGAGCCAGTGGCCTCATGGTGAGCAGGATGGGCAAGATCGCATGGGCTCCAAGAGAGGTTTCTTTTTTAAAGCGAGATCACAGCTGGATTAAATAGCCTCCAGTAAGGTAGGGTCCAGGGCCTATGCTCTTTCTGCCCTCTAGGGGTGCTAGACTAGAAGCCCATCAATAGTCCCTTTCTAACACAGGTCAGTTCCTTCAGTCAATACCCCCAACTGAAATGAAGGGAGCCCTATGTCTCTGGGGTTCTGCTGAATGAAACGCTAAATTGATATCCTATTAGGTTCAATTCTCACAAGCCTTACCTAAAAACAAGGTTGTCTGCTTGGCTACAGGGATGATGTGCTGAGGTTAACATTCCAAAAGCAACCCTGTGATTGTTTTTAGTGGTCTTTTGAAAAAATGTCAGGTTATGAGCCCACCTAAAATCTTCCATAAGTGCCCAAATTCTGGCCACAAATTCTTAAATATAAGAAATCTATGCCCGGTCGGTGTGGCTCAGGGGTTAAGCATTGATCTACGAACCAAGAGGTCACTAGGTTTGATTGCCCGTCAGGGCACATGCCTGGGTTGCAGACTCGATCCCCAATAGGGGGTGTGCAGGAGGCAGCCAACTGATGATATTTCTCTTTCATTGATGTTTCTCTCTCTCTATCCCTCTCCCTTCCTCTCTCTAAAAATCAAGTAAGATACAGGAACTTGATTGCTGATGCCCAAAATCAATATATATATATATATTTTTAAAGAAAGAAATTTATTCTTTTTTCTCACTTCACTGAGAATTGGCTGAGTATTATCAGGCCAAAGTGTACATAAAATAATCCATAAAGTGATGGGGCGGGGGCCGGGATGGGAGAATAAACATGAAGCTCATAACACTCACCAAAAAGTCATAATATTTCCCAGGAGGCAGACTGAATGGGATTATTAAGTTTGTGACAAACACGGCAGGCTGTTAAAGGGACCTCTGTGAGGCCAGAGGCCCACTGATGGCTGCAGGAAGTGACCTAACGCACACTCATGGTTCGCATTAAAGATGTTGCAATGGCTCTCCCACAGATTGTATTTCAGAGGAAGGACATGAAGAGGGCTGGGCCTGGGAAGGAACTCGGGGCGGCCTGCTGTTGTGCAGCACACATTCGATGGCCACCGAGAAAGACTTTTAAGTAGCGGATGGGCCGTCTGCCACTGCTGTGTGTCTATGTGAATCAGTGGCTATTAAAGCAGGTGTTGGGAGATTGAAAGCAAAATCACAGAAAATAAACAAATTTTAGAGTCAGGCCTAGGAACACGTCTCAATTCTGTTGCCAGCAGAGTAATTCTGAGTAAACTTAACCCACCAGAGCCTCTATTTCCTGAGGACTCTGAGGATAAAACCACCCTCCATACAGCATTGCTGGGATCATGAAATGAGATCACACATTTAAAACAATTCAGTGTCGAGCGAATAGTAAGTACTCTGTAAATGTTAGCCCGCCTCTCTCCTTCTGTCCATATGTAAAGCCTTGGTCTTAATAATGCCAGAGAAGACATTACAAAACCTCTCTTGGGCACATCCTGGGAGTGGAACCACTAAGAGGAAGAGGCCCCTGGACACCCTGGTGCGGGCAGGCCCAGGTGGAAAGAGCATCGCCCTCCTGCTTTCCTGAGGGCTCGGGTGTGAAACCAGGGAAGACCACTCGGGGAGTAAAAATTGAATCGCACGGTCTGCGTGGCTCAGTGGTTGAGCGTCAACCTAGGAACCAGGAGGTCACGGATGAATTCCCGGTCAGGGCGCATGCCTGGGCTGTGGGCTCGATCCCCAGTGTGGAGCCTGTAGGAGGCAGCTGATCAACGACTCTCTCTCATCATTGTTATTTCTAGTTCTCCCTCTCCCTTCCTCTCTGATATCAATAAAAATATATGTATTTTTAAAAACTGTACCTATCTGGTCACCCTGAAAAAAACAATTGCTAAATCTAGCATG